GGTCGTTTTAAAAAATTCAATCTAACTAACTGAAGGTGGGCGCATTCAAAATTATAAAGTCACAGCAAAGTTTAAAAATCTTGATTTGTGAACAGCGTTATATATCAAAAAGTCACAAAGGTTTCGAAAGAAACACCTTAATCGGCCCAAACATTTGGATAAGTTGGTCAGCTTCAGAAATAAGGTCAATTTATATGGTATTGAGCATTTTGCACTTTATCTTAATGACATGATTCAATGTACCTACCTTGAGTTTTACAACGGGACTGTTATACTTAAAATGCATATTCGAAAATTACAAATAAATTAGTCTATTAGTTATCGCTATTTTTTCGTCGAAATGCATGTTGTTTTACGATCTTAACTTATTAACTAATCGTAAATAAAAACTAAATTTTATTAAAAATCATGCAAATTAATTTAAGTCCGCTTTTAATGCATTCCTGTCTAGAATTAAATTATTAAAAATTGTTGGCAGCGACATTTCAGACTGATTAAGTTTGTTGTTATTGTAAATTTGTGTATCAGCCAGTGCGGAATAGTAAGTAATTCTTTTCGTTAGCCTTTTAGTTGTATCGTTCCATTTCATGCGAAAATGCATTGGGCATCATATACTTTAATGATTTTAATTTTCCAATTTAATACGACAGATTTTATTTGGCGAACACGGTGAACATCTGTTTTTAACGGCGTAAGGTGCAGGTTCTGAAGGGGTAGCATCATTTTCGGTTCATTTCCTTGGAAAATAGCAAGAGCGAGAACGACCCGACAAAAAACACCAAAGGGGCAAACTAAACACACTGGCCCGTGTCCTTTCCGTGTCCCTGTGTTGGTGTTGCTGTGTGTCTCTGTCCGTGTCCTGTAGTTCAGGGGTGGCTTAAAACAAATCGAGAGATAGCGAAACCCGAAAACTAAAAACAAAATGCGAGCCCAGAGCAATGACAACAAATTGGGAAAGGGGGTGGTGGTGTAGCCCCTCCCGCTGGCGATGACATAATGCAATCACCTACATACGTATGTTCGTGTACCCGGTGTTGTTCTTTTTGAGCCATGCCTCGCTCACGTCAGTCACTTATTTGGCTGGGCCAAAAACGCGAGCAATGGAAACCCTGGCAGCAACAGCAGAGAGCGCTGAAGAGAGGCTCGCGCATCCGTTATCAGCGGTTTAAGAGAAAACGTGAGTGGAATGGCTAAGGCAGCCGGTATTTTTTGCGCCAAGCAATGTACAGTGTATCTGGCGGATACCGAGGGAGAGAGCGTTGGTGTTGCTTTCTGCCTCTGCTGGACGGCGCGTGACGCAACGCTGAGCGCCATAGGAACCGCAGCGACAGCTGGTGCTTCTTCTTGCCCGCCTTGCCATTTCCCAGGCGGTCTGCTTCTTGCCGCTTGCCATCGCCATCCACACATCCACCAGATACAGATACACAGCAACAGCAGTTCTCTTTAGCCGCAGCTGGCTTTCTGTTTCGGGGTTCGCCCGCTCTTCGCCACAGTAGCGGGCCTCAGTTCGCATTTCGCTTTGGGTTGTGCCTCCTCGTCTGGTTTTTGGGTCAGGCCAGAGCGATTTCCACACCAAATTCCTAGTCTGCTGCCGAGATACTACCACTGCAAAACGAACTCAAAGTAAAGTGTTATTCCGATTAAGATTGCGATTCGATTTGATTTGGTTTCGATTTGGAGTGCCTGTCTGTGGCTTTCCGAGTGGAGTGGAGTGCAGTTCCTTGTGTCCTTGTGTGTCGCGTCGGTTGCGCGCTGCAGAAACCACGTAACAGTCGTCGAGTGTCAACCTCCGCCCGAAAAGTTAGCAGTGTTGTTATACCCGCCCCGCCTTTGCCACCGCCTCGATAAATAAGCCGTGCCAGGCGGAATCAGTTAATGCTGCACCCTGACCCCTGCCCCCGCCCCCGTCGTGCACTCAATTAGCCTCGTTGCACGGCTTTCCGACTTTAATTGACCCAAGTGCGGCGACTGCTAGCACTGAAAAATAGAATCATCGTGCATATTTGCTGTCCTCTTCCCCCTCCCACTGCGTTCTCGCTCTCGCCCGGCACCTGCGGTTATCAGTTACCTTACCTGCGACCCATTCTGCTTTTCGGCAGGCACGGGGACAGCCAACTAATCATCTAATCAAGGGCGATAAGAGGCCATCCCAGATTAGGACGCCCGGCCAGAACAGAGACCAGAAACTATCAGATATCAGATACGAAAAGACCGAACCGTTCGCTACATCGTCACGTTGTTGTAACGCATGTGTGTAAAGATATGACATAATTCCAAGACATTCCGCTCGCACTCGCACCCAAAAGATGGAAGAGCTCACTCTCTCTCTCTCTCTCATGCCTCGCACCCCGCTCTTAGTTGGATTTGAAAGAGAGCGGTGGCGAAAGCGCAGAGAGAGGCAGAGAAAGTGACCCCTCAACAAGTCACCGCCACCGCAGTCGGCCGCTTTCGAATCAATCTGTTCAGCGGAAACGCTCGTCCCGCCCACTGCCAGCACATCCCACCTCCTAGTGGAAATGCATGGCCCTCCAATTTACATATGCAACTCAATAAGTGTTTGAACGCACCGCATTCGAACTGCCATAACTCGATCCACCCACCAGATTGGAAAAAATTTGGTTGCTGAAGCAATTGTGATAAGTGCTGATAGGAAATCCGAAATTTGTGTAAATAAAAATCCGATAAATATAATTTGAAGCACTTTCAGAAGTATGGCATACAATGAAAAGAATAAAAAAAATTTAGAAAACTGAAATATTAACGTACTAGAAATAAAATTATTTGAAGTACAATTTTAATCGATTACGGAAATCAGAGTTGCTTGCGGTTTCACTTTAAGGCACTCCATATTATTTTATATTTTATAATTTGTGATATTTTAAAATATGTAATGAATATGGGCACTTCCACCAAAAGGTCCACAAAGCCAAAAACCTTGAAACTTGAATAAAACATATTTCCACATGATTTTGCCCAGATATTAGTTTCTAAATAGTTTGATCCTGAGCTTAACTAAAAATTTGGAGTATAGTTTGATTATTTTTATGACAAACCCCACCTATATACGCAAAAATTTGTTTTTGGCTATTTTTTTTGTTATTTTTTGTACCTTGGTTTAGTTGTTAATTTATCTTTTAGGAATGGTAATATGTGACATTGTTCTGTACTAAATGCTTAATTAATTAATTAAACTATTAAGTTAAATGAAAAACAACCAGTAATTAAGGGATAGAGGTACAGAAATACACTTTTCAAAACGAGCGACATGTCCCGAGAGAATGTGGTTTAACTTGCATAAAACAAAACGGCAAACAATTTTTAAGTAAAACCAAAACCATTTCATAGCGACATCTTAGGACAACATTCTAAAAAAAATAGCATTCAAATATTTCATCAGAATTCGCTAAATTCTGTTGTTGAATGAACTTCCCCGAAATCCACTTCTATTTTTGTCCCGAGCGAATACGGCAGTTTTTTAACGATATCTTAAAAACTAAAATGGTAAAAAATCAAGATTTTTGCACAAAATAGAGCTTGGAAAGAGTGAAAAGAAAAGCCCACTATTAAAATTAAAATCATTTTTTTTTACAATTTTTTTTCAACTTTAAAGGTGTACAAATGCCCCGAGCGACAATATGGAAGTGCCCATATTTTACTTGAAAATTGTATTGTTATAAGCATTCTATATCTTTTTATTTGTTATTTTATTGTCTTCGTTTTTTTCCACAAACTGAATTTCCAATCAAATTAACAGAAGCGGAATAAATATTATCTTGCCAAATTGAGCAATTCTGGTAGACTTGATCAAAGTATAGCCAAAAGTTAATCGATCAATGCACGACTAAAAATATTTCAGTATTGCCTTAGGCAACGTAAATTGGATTCCATTCATCATCAACCGTTTGGTTGCGCGAATATAATTTTTCCAATACCAATTTGAATTTAAAGATGTACCCATAGAAGTTCAAACCAAGAGGCATCCCACATTTGTTCGACTTGGAAAATGAGGAAAGTTGAGTTATGGAGGTTCGATCGACTGTGAATTAAAATATTTTCGCGGGCTGTGTGGGCTGCCTTAGAAAGCAGAGGAGGCAGCGTTTCGAAATTATGAAGTGACATTCTTCTCCGCTGGGCGACCCAATAAATAACAAAGGCCAAAATAGATTATTGCGTCAAAATACAAAACGCGTTTCAATTTCCATTTCATCAGGTCAACCTGTTGTTCGCTGCCTTTCGTTACCGCGTTGTTTGCTGCTGTGGCTTCTTTTTGGCGACACACATTCGTAAACAGTTTGACCATGAATTCGATTTTGAGCGCAAAAGTCCCAAAAACAAAAAGCAAAAGAGAAACGTGAAATGAAAACCCGAAAGCCATAAAAAACCCAGTCCATCCCGTTGTGAGTATGTGTGAAATGCCGTAATAATTAATTGATCGACAAGTGCGGAGCTTTGATTTGGTATGCGAGCCATCACCTGCCACTGAAATCGATCATGATCAAGCGGCGGCCCTTGCCTCACTTCATTCAAAGCCGAGCAGAGCGTGGTTCTTGCGACAGCGACAGCGTCTTAACCTGCCGCCGCCGCCGCCACCGCTCTCCGTTTTCCTTTAGGTCTTTTTCGAAAGACGGGCTTTCCCAATCGAAGGGAGTGGTGCAGCTGGGAGTCGGCCAACGCACTGCGAATTCCACCTGCAGCCGAAGTCGCAGTCCGTGAGATGGCCGAATGAAGCTCCAAACGGTCCACAATTAAGAGTCATCCCACCTCAGTCAGTTCACAAAGGAAATCTATGCAAAGAAATGTATATTAATTCGTAATGGCCCGCCAGCGTCAACGCCAACGCCTCTGCCCGCTCCACAAGCTCGGCCCGTCGAGCGTCGAGTGCCAAGCGTCGACTGAGACTTGGACTCTGACTTCGACTGCGGCGACGGCGACGGCTGCGACTGCGACCGCGGCTGAGATTGCGACTGAGCCGCAGCGGCCTTAGTTCGTCAGTCGCCGTGGCAGCCAGTTAGTCGTGCTCCGCTAGTCGATGTCGACGGTTCGTCTCTGCCCCGCTCGTCGCCCACTTCCCGCCTCTCGCCCCGTCGCGAATCGAAAGCCGAGTTTCGAAAAAGTCCGATCCGAGCTGCAGCCGCGTTTCCAAGGACACATTTTGGAGCCGCAAACTCAAGAGTTGCTGTAATTCCGGAATGCTAGACCCAATAGCCCGAGCAGTGGGCGCAGCTCTACAACATTCACAGCAGTAATTGTTGAGCAGTAGCCACTCGCGCTAGGGAACCCGATTTTCCCGGAGTAACGCCCGGCAATCGACCCTAGTTGTTGCTCAGGCTTTTTGGAAATCCATCTCAAAGCCATCCAGTGCGGCAAACAAGGTAAATTCTCGAGACGTTTCATTAAAACGATCGTTCGGCTAGGTGGCTAATCTTCAGTCTTCAAAAGGAGTTGGGAAAGGATAAAGAGGATTGTGTGAGGTGGCCAATCCTTTTGGGAGAAGCTCTTTCTACTCACTCGTTGATCAGCGTTTGCGCAATCAACGCTTAAAACTTACATAGTATAACTGATAATTAATTATGAATTAATTATATGAAAATATGCGACGCGTTTCGTTTGCGTGAAAGTGATTGAACCTTTTATCGGTATGTAAATTTTGGTGGCTGTCAAATGCGCATACAAATGAGCCTTTGTAAGACTTGCCAAACTGAGAAGTCATATAACTCAATTTGGCATTCGAGAATCTGATGCAATTCCCACACACGCGACTGTTTGAAGAAGCAATCCTCTTGCCATCAAAGGTTCGATAAACAAATGTCAAAGTTTGTAATTGTTGGCAACAGCTTGGGGTCAACATCACTTGACCATTGGCATCAATTACTTATGGGCCAGCCTTCGCTTGGCCAATCAGTCAAGCCAGTCTTCAGACCAAGTCGATGGTGCTGAGCTGTGGAGAGCAGGAAAATCCACTAGGTACAAAAATCAATAGCCAATCGAATTGAGAATGTCAAGAGGCGCGCGACACCTTCGATGCATGGGCGAATTGTTAAAAAAGGGGAGGCTTCCACGCTCCCCCAAAAATTATTGTGTCAACAACTGTGACAACTACTAAGCGCCACGCGTCTTTTCGGCGTCATTCATGGCGTGTTGGGCTGGCATAAAGCGTGCTTTCCTCGGCGATTGTTTCAGCCCGAGCGAGCGTCTTTCTTGGCCCGGCCAAGAAGTCGGAGGTGCGTCGGGTGAGTCACGCGACACTAGACTCCGTACCCCAACCCTCCAACCCTCCAACCCCCCAACCGGGCAGCCGACACCACATACCAAATCATTCCGCACCCGCAGAGGGCCAGAAATCGGGTGGTTTGCTCTCGTGGCCGCGTTTTCATTCAAGAAACGCGCTGCGAGCCTCTGCGCACGAGCGAAGGGAAAAGCCAGAGGCAAAGAGAAACCCTAGTCGGCATCACGTGATGAGATTGGGGCAACGTGGCGCCTTGGCTGACGCCGGTTTAGCGGCGTGTTGCTGAATGGGCCTGCTTTTGGGGTGGGATGGCGATAGCTGGTCGTTCGCTTGTCGCCTTACATGCCCATGTGTGCAGTGTTGCTTCATGCTTTTTGGAACGGCGCTTGTGCTTGTGTGGGCGAACATCGAGGAGAAGCAGCTGAAAACAACAAAACCAGGTCAATGAAACGGCAATATTTGGCATGGCTTTGAGTCGCTCTTCAGCGCCCGCTTCTTCAGCAGGTTCGCGCTTTCTGCAGTTGCCAGAGGTAGTCGGCCACCTTCAACCCTTTGACCTTGTCCACCTGCTATCCACCTTTCATCCCCCACTTCCCGCCCACTAAGCTCGTGGCAGTTTTTTCTGCTTTCATCGTTGACAGAATTTTCCGTAGCCGTGTTATTTCTACCGCCTTGTTTTGACTTTGAATTAGTTTAAATTTGGCTTTTCGGTGGCAGTGGCTTAATTTACTTTCTTGTCGCTGTTGTTGTTTTTATTTGGCAAAGGTGTTTGTTTGTTTTGCTTGTTGCTTTCCAGGCCCATCAACTGGGCAAACAGTGGCTGTTACCGCCTTTAGCTTGGGCTAACATTGCTGGATGGACGCCAATGAGGTAATGTTGAATAAATATGTGAATATTTTTCAATTGGTCAATTCTCATGTCCTGACTAGCAAACCAATTCCTTTGAGAGCGGAAGCTAATTATGACTTATGGGTGCCCCACAAATACCAGCACAACTATCTAGCACTGGCGCACCCAGTTAAGATTGGAATATAACTCAAAGGGCGGTCCTCGATGGGGTTTAATTATGCTCTTGCTGGACAGCGTTCTGCCATTCGAAAAGCCATTAAGAGTAGGCTCTATCACAGTGTGGTCAGTTTTCCCAATTATCGCCTACACGCCACTTCACTGGGGGACACCAAGAAGCTTTGTTATGAAACACTTGCGTTACTCTGGCGTGACGTACAAGGCGGCGTATCAGTAATGTGAACATGAAGCTAAATGCTCGACATGGAAGGGAGAGAATTCGACTTGTGTGGAGGGAACGCGTGCTTGCTTGCAGAAGGAAATTCTTCTATATTGAGTACCTGCAGATTTGCCAACAATGGATATCGATGCACATTTTCCTATTCCAATACATAATTACCCTCGATAACATATTCCCTTCAACGAGCTCGGCATACTTAGGCAGTACTCATCAGCGGATTTAAAATGCTTTCAGAAACAGAGACAGAAATCGAGAAAAATATTGGGGAAGTCTAATCCAGTCAAGCTACGTCAAGTGCTAAGTGTTCGCAGGCTGTCCTTGAACTTTTTGTACATTTCCACGAACATTACTCATACGCCACATACTCCAGTGCTGACGCTCACTGTTTTGGCTAATGCTTTCGCTCAATTTATCGATTTGCGATAACTGTTCGCGCGATAAGAGGTACAAATTCCGCGCTTGGCCTAAAAAATAAGAAATAAAAGAAAAAGCTCAAAACGAGAACGTTCAATTATAAACAAGATGTAAATGTGCCGATCAAATGCTGACCGAGCAGCTTTTGCCTTTAGTTTATTAACCTCATTCCGTTTCTGCCTCCGAATATTGCTCTGGTGGCTCGGTATATGTGGCTTCATATGAAGGTGAAGGGTAGGGTGGTTAATGGGGGCCGATAAGGGCCGGTCGTCGTTGGCTTTAATTTAAATTGGAATTGGTAGTAAAAACTCGTAACTCGCACAAACAAATACTCACATCTGTTCCTCTCTAGCTAAATGAAAGCAAAGACACATCACGTGCTATGCCCAATTATTAATTTATATCAAAATTTTACAAACTTCCCCCCTGTCATCTCTTTTTGCAGTTTGAAAATCCGCTTGGCACTGCATTAATGCCCTAAATTCCAAACACTTAAAACAACCAGTTGTGAATCGGACCGCGTTTTCTGAAAGTCAATACTTTAACCACGAAACTAATTGTACAATCAAAGAGGAACACCAACAACAAAGTAAACGGAAAGAAGGACTCCACTGTCAGCAAAAGAAAAGCACCAACCACTACACAGCAACACAATGGCCTTAATTATGAAATACATCGAGAGCATAAGCAGATACATAGACTCACATAGTGGTAAGTACCCCGAGGTGGTGGGGGAGGTGGGATTTGCTAATTTGCCTAACCTTGATTTTGGTGGACTGTGACCAGCAACCGCAACATGGGGAACATTTCAATGTCGCTTCTCTTTCTGGCTTTTCTCTCCAAAAACGGCAGAGGGCTAAGCCAACGGATAAATAATTTTTGACACCAGTTCTCTAATTGACCGAGAGAGCCGGATTGGCAGCGCTGGGAAAAAAGGGGGAAACCGGACACATTGGCTCTCCCAGTGCTGAACTCTTTAGCTAAATTTCTTTTCAGAACGGCCAATATATTATTTACGTGCCGAGATTCTCTTTCTACCGGAATTAGTTTGACTCTATAAAATATATATTTTCCGTTTCTAATGCGGTTATTCCACTACATTGTTTGGCTCATTCATTAGAGCATTCATTGGAGGCTTAGAAAGGGACAAATATATATGTTTTTTTTGGGATTTGTTTGGATAAGATGGCATGGTCACTTAAAATTTAGACGTTAAATTTAAACTTTATAATTCAAATAACTTTGACTGGTTATTTTTAGTTGGCAACGGAGTAATTAGGCCACTAAAATAATTTTTGTATTGTTCATATTTGTTTATAGCGCCTTATTAGACGCAAAAGGTTTGGCAATTCAACCAAAAAAAATCAAATCAATTTTTATTATTGATCCCATTTCACAGTAGCAGCAAAATTGTACTTTTTAGATTCAATTTTGCTCATTGCTCATCGGTCCAGGTAATACCGTTTGGAAGTATTTTAAAATCCCAAAAAAAAATACTAAAATTGCCCATCGGTTTTTACAATTTTACTCATTTATTGCTCATTGCAGCTGACATACATCTGTCTTGCTCGCACCTATGTAAAATCGTATAGGCTGAGAAAAAATTGCTCTAATGAATGAGCCGAACAATGTAGTGGAATAACCGCATAAGCAAACTAGTCACTCAGAGCATATTCAATAGATCAGAGGTTAACCCTGCCAGTTAGATCAATATGCTTTTATAAGTAATTCCAGCGCAGGAGCTCGGCAGAGACAAACGATGTTAATTTGGTGCTACTGTAAGTCGGATGTACATATCGTACAAGCTCAACAATTTTTTTTTTTAAATCATAGGCGATTCCAACTTGAAATTTACATCCATACATCTAAAACCAAAATTCTGTTTTTAATTTCTTTTTGGTCGATGACTCAAAATTTAATTTTTTCATTAGATTTCTTAGTTTTGATCACCGTTGCTTCTACTGTATATTTCTATATCGTAAAGCTGTCTGCAACGGTATATAAACCTCGTCCTGTAGGTCATGGTGCTGCACATAGTGTCAGAGGGGGTAATGCTAGTTAGCTAATGCTACGTAATAATACCTGTCTTTTTGCAACCTTTTGTGTTCCTTTCTTACAAAAATGTATTATTTATGTAGACACACATTTTTTATTTGGAATTTTTTTTTAATGTATATAATGTTTGTTTGATAATATATACGTATATATAATTACATTAAATATAATGAATGCCAATCGTTTTTTTAATTTGACTGGATTTGCTTATTAATTTCTTATTGAAATGCAAAAAGCATTTTATCAATTTTAAGTATAAGGGGTGGGTATGGCAGCAGGTCCATATGGCTATTATATACTATCTTGTTTGTTGTCGAGCTGTGAAAGTACGGAACGGACGAGTACAGGGTCAATGGCAATGATTTGAGTGAGATACATGCATCCCGCTGGCCTATCTAATGTTTGCTTGTAACTTCTGCTCTTGTCAAAGTAGAGCATCCGCGAAACAGCAATAACATCTCTAATTATATGACGTTCCTTTCGCACAGACTCCAGGACAAAAGGCTGGCCTATGATGTCATCCCCATTCCCCACACTGGCCGTATGCCTCACATACGTTTATCTGGTCAAGGTGAGTTTCAATTTCCCAGCCATCTAAGATATTGAACGGCCAATTTCGGCCTCTGAAGTAGCCGCGTACAGTGATAAGAAGGTAGGCTAGCTATACATATAGTTCGGTTTACGACACGAAAGACATATCAACGCGTGATAACAATACCTGAAAGTAGGCAGACGATTACATAAATGCTGATATTACCTCTTGTCCACAGGTGCTAGGACCCCGATTAATGGAAAATCGAAAGCCACTGCATCTGCAGAACACACTAGTCATGTACAATGCCATACAGGTTGTATTCAGCGCGTGGCTCTTCTACGAGGTAGGTACTCCAATCCCATCCCACCCCATCCCTCTTCCCCACATCCCAGCAGCTTCATTCACCGCGTGGCATCGTCGCTGGACTGATCCGTGGACTTGCGGACTCGTCAAGGATGCTTCGTACTCTAAATTAACCTATTTTTTGCAACTAATGTCTCTGTTCTAGTGCTTGATGGGCGGCTGGTGGGGCTCGTACAGCTTCCGGTGCCAGCCGGTGGACTACACAGATAGTCCCACATCCCGGAGAGTAAGTGTCCCGAACGGCATTGCGCTAGAGTACCTATAAGTGTGTGCAGATACGAATAAAGACCCGACCACTTCAGCGCAGTCATTCGCGTACCATTCTATATCTGCAATTAAGGCAATCCAGCGCGGCTTCTGCTTAATCTAATCCTAATGTATTGTTATTGATTTGACCACTGACCTAGCCAACGCTTTCTGGAGTATTAACCAGCCACGCCTCGCCTTGTAGTCTTTCCCATTGTATTAACTACGTATTGTCCATGGTATATACAAATAACTCTCGGCGGCACCAGACGTCACCGCCAGATGTTTGCGACCGGCTTTGACTAATCCCAATCAAGTACCCTAACGCGTCTCAGTGCAGGCCTCGCCTGTCGCCTGTCGCCTGTCTTGAGCAGGCTGCTGTTCTGTTTTGTATATAAATGCTAGCCCAAAACACAAGTGCTACATACAATACCAGTGATTAATTTCGCTTCAATTAATCGTAATATCGCGTTTAAGCCTAAGTTGATACCATCTAAGTGCTGTTTTACTCACACTAACACCGCACAGCGCCAAACATGCACCTTTGTAAATAGCCGACAGCTGAGCGCGCGTTCCACAAAAAGTCGAGCAGAAAGAGAGGTCTTTCAGCCAAGATCCGGTGACGATGCCAATTCGAAACCTCTCACGAATCATCCAAGAAACTCAGAGCCGTGTGAAGATATATAAGTGACTTTTTGTGCTCTACAATTGCAGATAGGCATTTCCGGTTGGCTAACTGGACATTATAGCTTCCGATGTCAGCCAGTCGACTATAGTAATAATCCTAGAACGTTAAGGGTATGTGTTAACCGCCACGAGCAGTAAGATAACGATTACGATAACAAAATAACGATAAGCATTCTGGTTACGTTTAATTTCCATTGTGGTGTGAGTGCACGAATAGTAATAGATAATCATATACGCACATATTCTCTTAGATAAAGTACATAATTAGTAGTACCCATGGAGAGGGTTCATTAAGTCACAACTTCTAATTTACAATGTGGTGGGGTTAAGGGCTATTGCTTACGTCCTAAACAAAACGAGTGCTAACATCGAAACCTCTTGGATGCTAACCCAGATTTTAGCATGTGTAAACCGTACATAACTGCATAATTTTCCACTATCAATAAACTAAACTCCCGAAATTTAAATGTCCGACTTCGATATATGAATATCTGTTACCTAACCATCCGGTCTATCTCAACTAAATACCAAATCTTTCAATTGAACGTTTACTACCCCCTGCTCCTGCTCCTAAGTCTGTTTGACACTTTTAAAAAGCAATCTGTAACCCTCCTGAATCTCCAATGATCTCTATCACTATTTCCTTATGGGTCTAGGAGTCTGCATATGTGTTTGAATGGACCTTTTAACAGCACTCATAAAGAGTCATGACTGAGTGCGTGAAAAATTTGGTGCGATCTGTTGTCGGTTGAACCGACACGTCTGCACGCCCTATTCCATCTGTAATGAATGGCATTCTCAAACGGATTAAATAATAAAAAGCTGAATGTTTTCACCAAGTAGATGTACACCATTTCTTGGATTGGATGGGGTTGCGCAACGCCCAAGGAATGCTATGAACAACTCGAACAGCACTACCACTAAAATCATACTAACATAAACTCCTTTTCTCCCCCATGTTACCTATGCGCTAAACCAGATGGTTCATGCCTGCTGGTGGTACTACTTCTCGAAGTTCACAGAATTCATGGATACGGTGAGTGACAGATCAAAGCGGCGGCCGAAAGTCTGCGCTCAGTAATTGCATTCATAAATCAACTTGTTGTGCGTCGCCACAGATTTTCTTCGTGTTGCGCAAGAAGACCAGCCAGGTTACCACGCTGCATGTCATCCATCACGGCTGCATGCCCATGTCGGTCTGGTTCGGCGTTAAGTTCACCCCAGGTGAGTTGCGGTGACAGGATTTGTCCCCGTCCAGGACCTGATCACCCGTTTCCCTCTATCCATCCAGGTGGCCACAGTACCTTCTTCGGCTTGCTCAACACCTTCGTCCACATCGTGATGTACACCTACTACATGTTCTCGGCCATGGGCCCACAGTACCAGAAGTACCTCTGGTGGAAGAAGTACCTGACTACCCTGCAGATGGTGAGCTGCCTTGCGAAATTCACCCTGGTCTTTGGCTAACAGCCCGCTTTCACAGGTCCAGTTCATCCTGATCATGGTGCACGCCTTCCAGCTGCTTTTCATCGACTGCAACTACCCGAAAGCGTTCGTCTGGTGGATTGGCATGCACGCCGTGATGTTTTTCTTCTTGTTCAACGAGTTCTACAAGGCAGCCTACAGGAGCCGCATGATGGTGAGTACGCCCCGGAAATGAGATCTAAGTGCGCCTAAGTACGCTCCTAAAGCCTCCTAACACTTTCCCACATTAGTGGCCCTAACGGCCTTTTTATCACTGCCCGACATCGGCAAGGGGCCGCAAAGTGGCCGCTCCATTATTATCAATCTGAGATTCGGGGCTTAAGCTTCCCACGTTGCCTAAGGCGTTCCAGATTCCGGTCTGTGTTAATGAAAATAAAAACGAATACCTAAGCGAAACGACGCGGTTCGAAGCTGTGAGGCAAACGTGGTTATATCATCATTGCCTGCACTGCACCTTGCGGCCAGCCGATTACAAATGCGCGAGATGCTGTGGTCCAAATTCATTAACAAGATTTCGTCAAGTAGGTCTCTGGGAATTTGGGAGTTGGGCTCGAAGCACAGCTCCGGCACTGAACAGAGGTAAATATCGTTAACCGGCTTTGTTTCGGCACCCAGCAGCCACAGAGCTTCGCGTCGCGCGAGTGAAAGTTAAGCGGGAAGACAATACCAACAGCTTCAGAGTCAGGGGCATCAAAAGAAAAACAATGCCATGCGGACAAAGATTCAGATAAGACGAGCATCATTGCGTAATTATCGTGGTGAACCTCTCTGGGGCTACTAAATCTGTTAAGGGTACCACATAAGATGACCAAAACTAATAAACTTTTTACCACCACTAGAACAACAATCAGAAGGTGATGAAGGGCTTTTTGTTTTTTTTGTACATCGATATAACTAATTCGATTAGGGTTTCAATTTCGATTCAAAAAGTTTCGGTAACAGGTTAATTTAACCGGGTTAAATAAAACTAATATTTTCTGCTACCAACATTACAACTTGTTTAATACAAGTAAATAATATTTTGATCGAAATGATGAGCTTCTTCCCTTAAAAAAAGTCGGCCAACGCTTACTTAAGTGCAAAGTACAGCTAAATATAGTCACGGCAAATTTAAACAGAACTTTTACGCCATTCAACTTTATTTATTTCGCGTTGTGCAGAATTAAGGGGCGTGGAACAAGCAGTTGGTGCGAGCTATGGTGAAAAACGAGCTTAATGAGCTTAATTCCAATAAGAATACCAAAATTGGTTGACCACTTTGAAGATATATCCCAAAAGTCGAAGAAAATTTGCGATTTTCTTAAATTAAAGATACTGCAAATACCAGAGCTGATGGACTATAGGCGTAGTGGCAACTTATGCTTAGAAAAGCATCATTTATGGAAATTAAATGATGGCAGGCCTGGACACCGACCCATGTCACATTTTGTCGGCCTGTGTAATGATTATTTTTGGAATTTTTTTAATCAAAGATAATGATTATTGTGTAAGTTTAAAATAAAGCTTATAATAATTACGGTCCCTGTGTATAATTGTAACCAATTTTTTTTATTTTTTGTATCTTTAAAAATGGCGTCCTAAAAATTTTTTTCTCAGGCTAGATTGAAACCAAGACTGGAATTTACTTACGAAGTTTGTATACCTTTGCAGTTCAAATACACTTTAACCGTTTAATTAGCCTTCTTTGAGAGCTTCAAACGCTCCTTCTCGATGGGTCCAGTTTCAGGTATATCAGATGTATAGATTTTAGATTAGGTTTTTAGATCGATTTATAGAAACGGACAGACGGACATGGCTAGATGGCCTCGGCTATTGCTGCTGATCAAGAATATATTTACTTTTTGTGGTCGGAAACGTCTCCTTCACTGCGTTGCAAACATCTGACTGAAATTATAATACCCTCTGCAAGGGTATAAAAAGTATAAAAAAGAGTTCAGCTGCGTATTGAGTTCAGGTCCTGTATAGATCCGATTTTTATGAAACCAAACTTATTTTGAAGAGAAATTTTTTAGAAACTGTCTGAACCTTAGATAGTGGGCCATTTCATTAAAAACATTTCCGTAAAAGCAGCATGATGATGGCATTACCTTTTTGAAATACACGATCGTCAGCTGGGAAAAACATGGTTTCGAGAAAAACGCATTAAAAGTAATTAAATTAGGAAGGCGGTTGCCATCTTCCTGGTATAAGGGGGGAGATACATATATAGATACATATTTACATAGAACAGCAAATAATTCGTGTAACCAATAAAGGGGTGTGCTAGGATTTCGTGACTTGGCATGTTTATTAAATTTAATTTAATATGTTAAAGGTGCGATCCCCACTATATTTGCCTCCATCATTTTCGTCACGAAAGTTGACATCAGATCTTTTATATTTTACTAGCTATCCCCGGAGCGACTTCGTTCGCTTAAAATTAGTTTGGAGTTAGGAAATTTGGTTTTATTTGCGCGTTTTTTGAAAACCTTTGTGTAAACAATCTTTGTGGAAGATCCTTCAAGAGAGAGAGAAAGAAGGCTACTGGCAGGGATATATAATAAATGAATGTGATCTAAGTAAAAATAGTGAATTTTTATACCTTCTATCAGTTACAATGTTATAAATGCAATTTTAATTTGTACACCTGTTTCTAAAATGGAATTCGTTGTTTTTAAATTTGATGTTTTGAATGAAACGAAAGCATTTGTACACACACGAAAAGATTGACATCCCATGCAATCAATATTACCAGGAGAAGAAAAATTACAACAACAAACCTTTAAAAACACAGGGCGGAAATACTACTACTATTTTGACCGCAGCTTTATGCTTTTATGTTTATACCCGTTACTCGTGGAGTAAAAGGGTATATTAGATTCGTGCAAAAGTATGTAACAGCTAGAAGGAAGCGTTTCCGACCCCATAAAGTATATATATTCTTGATCAGGGTCACTAGCCGAGTCGATCTAGCCATGTCCGTCTGTCCGTCTGTCCGTATGAACGTATGTCTGTATGAACGCTGAGATCTCAGAAACTACAAAAGCTAGAAGGTTGAGATATCCCACACATATTCTTTGGCTTCCTACGCAGCGCAAGTTTATTTCAGCCGAGCGCCACGCCCCCTCTAACACCCACAATCGCCCACTTACGATTTGAAAATGGGTCCTGCGCCCACATCTTTAAAGATTTCCGAGAAGTATAAATGCAATTTTGTTGTGTCGACATTTTTCAAATCGGACCATTCATTAAAAAGTTATACGCCATCAAAATTTATATATCTATCTCCCTCGCACTTTTTAGTACAGCGTTCGCACTCCCTTTAGCTGAGTGACGGGTATTAGATAGTCGGGACACCAACCCGACTATAGCGTTCTCTCTTGTTTTTGACTATGTTTTCTAAAATTTGTTTCTCCCTTAATGAAAATCCTAAAATTATTCTAAGTATGGGGTTCGAAAGATAAAGAGTGTATCTTTTAAAAAACTTTAACATCGAATCAAACCATGAACTTTTTGGAAAACGCAGTTTAACTTCGGAATTCATAACGAATCCAAAAATATAGCATCCATCGAGGTAAATTTAAAAAGCATTAAAAATGCTGCACAGTGTTATTGATCGAAAATCATATTGATCGGAGCAGCAGTTTAAGTTTTTAAAATTCAAAACAAATTTTAACTAAAATTGCCCTTTTCCCCTCCCCATTCCGCACAGCACTACCACTACCACTCGACAGTTTTCTTGGCTGCTGCTCTCTGGGCCGTCGCTCTCTTGCCATCCGCTCTCTGGGTTTCACTCTCTCGGCAGGCTCCCACAAAATGCAACGCAATAACTTAGGAAATCTAAATAAATTCGTTAAAAATTCTTAAAAAGAATTTTAAAAACTTAAATAATTAAACTTAAGCAATTGGGCCATTGGGCTGTGGTTGTATCCCCCTAAAAATCGGTCTTTCATTTTATAATCTTTAGAGATATGTAGGTGCGATCGTCACTATTTTTATACCCTGCAGAGGGTATTATGATTTCAGTCAGATGTTTGCAACGCAGTGATGGAGACGTTTCCGACCCCATAAAGTATATATATTCTTGATCAGCATCACAAGACGAGTCGATCTAGCCATGTCCGTCTGTCCGTCCGTCTGTCCGTCTGTCTGTTTCTACGCAAACTAGTCTCTCAGTTTTTGAGCTATCGGGACGAAACTTTCGCAAAAGTCTTCTTTCTATTGCAAGTAGTATATATGTCGGAACCGACCGGATCGGACAACCATATCATAGGAAGGATCGGAAAAAAAAAACTTTAAAAAATTCTAGCTTCGGTGTTTTTTTAAGTATTACCTTCTACTCTTGGTAATATTATTTTTTATATATTTCTGAATTTCGAATTAAATATTTTAAAAATCGGATCACTATATCATATAGCTGCCATAGGAACGGTCGGAAAATTAATGGAAAAGTAATGGGAAATAAATTCTAGCTTCTTTGCTTTTTATTGTATTCTCTTCTACTCTAGGATATGACTCTTTTTAAATATTTCCGAATTTCAATTTTAATTTAATCAAAATCGGACGACTATATCACATAGCTGCCATAGGAACGATCGAAAAATTAATGGGAAATTTATTGGAAACAAATTATAGCTCCGTTGATTTTTATTGTATTCTCTTCTACTCTAGGATATGTTTTTTTTAATATTTCGGAATTTTGGAATTTTACAAAAATTGGATGACTATATTATATAGCTGCCATAGGGAAGGATAGAAAAATTAATGTCAAAACAATACGAAATTTAAAATTTTTGCGATTTGTAAGTTAATAGGAATGATCTGCAAGGGTATAAAAGCTTCGGCTGGCCGAAGCTAGCTTCCTTTCTTGTTACATTTAAAGCCAAAATTTTAACTGATTGTTACTCTACGAGTAACGGGTATAACTATTATTTCTGTTGTTTTAACGGATGATTAGTAATACTAATAACTGTGCCTTTTCCATTCCCCTTTTAGAAAAAGAACGGAGCGCTGGCTAACGGCCATGCCAGGCCCAACGGATACTGTAAAAGTATCAACGCCCATGATGACCTCTCCATGCCGCCGCCAACGGAGGCAGCGGCAACCGCGACGCCTGTATCAAAGGCCAACGGGAGCATAAACCCGCTGACCAATGGCCATGCGAATGGCCAGGCCAACGGCTACAAGCAGTTGGCCAACGGCAGTGCGCAGAAGGGTGCAAACGGAGGACTCCTGACGAACGGATATGCCACCAAGCTTCTGGACGACGCCTCCCAGGAGCTAAAACAACGGAAGACGCCTAAATAATATCGGGAAAAGGAGGGGCGGCGCCAGCACAGAGCTTAGGACACGGCGAGGGCCAGCAGTGCCAGGAGCTTCCTGGGAAGGAGCGGAGCTCCAAGAGTCATTTCCACAGGCACACACATCTTCACTTCAACTCACTACTACACATCAAAGACCATTCACATACAAATTTCCACGCAAGGACACACCTTCAGGGACTTTTGGGAAAAAAGGTTTAGTAAGCCCATGTAGCGGAGGGCGGAACTTAAACTACCACAATGCGAAATCGGTACTTTTGCACAGTTTTCAAAGTACATTTTCCCTCAGCCCAAAATGCACATACCCGAACATAAAAATATGCTAATAGTATGCTCGCATACCTATTGAGGCATATGCAAATGTATAGGCATTGCGAATGCATATGCACCCATTTTTCTAGCGTACTACTTTAAATATGTTTTGTTGCTTCTTTTTCTTTAAACTACTTTAGTTGTACAAAGCTTACTTACCATAAGTACCCGAGCGGATTGTATAAAACGAAAACCAGCATACGCGAATCAAGATTTCAACTAAACAATAACATTAACTGAAGCCCAGCATACAAAATTCAAAACTAAAGCGAATGCTTATTACATTCAGTTTGTATAAGAGCAAGGAATTCAACTATTTAAGTCTAGAAATTAAATTTATATATGTGTGTATACATATATTATTAAAATAAACAAAAAACAGAAGCCAACGGCCAGTTTTGTAAATGTATAGAGCAAAAACAAATGTAGTTTAAAATTAGGCACAATAATTGTTAAAAATATAAAAGTCATTCAAAAAGAAAAAGCCGAAAACTATCTACGTTGAACGGAAAACTTCATACGCGAGTATTCCGCAAATTTTGTAAAACATTTCAAAATATACAAAAGAAAAAATGTACGAAGAAATGAAGAAATCGCAGGCTATTAAATAACCCATAAATTTTCATTAATTTATTAAAAGTAAATTATGCCGATAAACTAAATCAGAAAATGCGAGATGACTTTGCATCTTACCCAAAAACATCCACCCAACATCAATATTAAATTCAACAAATAAACACAAATAGGAATAACCATAAGATCGATCTACTTGAAACCGAGCATTAAAATCATTAAATTGTTGGAATCAAAAAAAAACAAAATAGACTGTAAGTCCCACATTCTAGGTATGCAATTGCCATACGTTTTGTATGCGTAATACCCATTTTTGTGGAGCAGTATGTAAACATTACCTATGTAATTATTATTATACAAACTTGTCTAGAAAATTAGGTGAAAATGGAGTGGAGCATTTTTTCAATAAAAACACTAAAACTAAAATTATTTATTTTTCATTTTATTGGTAGCCACCCATCGATAATTTCGCATATTAGGAGATCTTACCTAGTTTGAGTGACTCTTCCATCAACTTAGAGATTGATCAACAACTAAAATTATATTTATGCATTAAATATTGTTTTATTAACATTATTGTATGTTTAATTTGGATGCGTTAAATTTTACATGTGTGCCGTCGCATTCGCTTAGAAATTGACGGGAATAGTAAACTTAGGACTTAGAACTAGAGATTTTTGTTAAGAGCTAAGCGTGATAAGCTGACAATAAAATGTAGACAGAAAGAAAAGATTAAAACATAGAAGTAGTCTAAATTGTATGTAGTAATTCAACAATTTAATGTGTCATGTCAAACAATGTCACGATCTTCTGTAAATCATTATCCAACAACACAGCTTGGAAAAGTTAATATGGCCATTGAACTTGACAACATAAGACTAACTTAGAGGATAGCCGTGCAGTAAGTCAATGCGATTTAAGTAAGGAAGATGAGTGGACAGCTGCTGCTAACGTGCTTTGTTTGTGTGTGAGTAAGGACCAAGCAGCCGACGGCGACATTGGGTGGATTATAACTGTAGATTAGAGATTTTAAAACACTTAAGACTATGCCCGCGATGCTTAGTTACGGCGCGTTCGCCGACGCGCATTTCCGGCAAAGGCGTTGGGCGCCCCCGGATGCTGACCGCTATACAAATTGTCTAAGAACTCGTGCAATGTAGCCTCGCTGAAAGACAGAATATATTTTTGAATTCTTATAATTCATAATTGCTAAAAGAAAATTCGCATCTTACCTAACACCACTAACTCCCCCGCCTGGATGATGAGCACCCCGGTCGTGATGTTGTTGCTGCGGTTGCTGGTGGTGTTGTTGTTGCTGCTGCTGCTGCTGTTGTTGCTGAGCACCGCGTACTATGCGGTACTGCACCATATGGGAGTTTGGTTCCAAATGTGAAAGAGCTCCTTTTTGGCAGTTGGCCCACTCGGTTATGTCATAGACTTTGCCGTCCATTAGCGCCAAGTATTTCCACCGCAAGCCCATCATGCTGGTTTCGGCCCAAATGTCTCCCTATCACGAAAACAAACCCAAAGAGCAAAAAACATATATCCATAAGTCCATTTCAGATCTCAGCACACTTACATCTTTTGCGGAGTGTCGTATTTTACAGGATGCGCACTCCCGCGCCGCATAATGGGGACGTTCTGTTAGCTTGCGAGGATGGCGCTGGGCACAGGTGCTACACCTATTTAGGACGGTTAGAAAGGTTAGCTCTTCCCTGGGACATCGGTACATACGCACCTTATAGTATTGGCTGCTTCAGCCATTTTGGTTTGCAGTTGGGAAAGCAGATCATGCAACTCCGTCCACGCTTTCTCAGCGTGCAGTGTCTCGGCGATGCTTTGGTCATAAATTAGACGATTCTCCTGCATTTAAATACAATTTAAGTCAATAACCCATAATTTCAGTAGCTAATTTCTTACCGGTTCTCCAATCAATTCAAAGGCGCGCTGCAGCACTTTAAACGCCTCCTCAGCACCGGCCTGTTTGTTTTTGTCTGGATGTACGAGAACAGCTATTTTCTTGTAATGCTTACGTATCTGCTCCTGGGAGCTATCTGGTGGGACACCAAGTATGCTGAAACGAATATAGAAAACTGCTGGACGACAGGTCATTCAATGATCGTCAAGCGGATCTTACCTGTATGCATCTTTTCCTTTGCAATTCAGCAGCGAGTACATTGCCTCTTCGCCTGTTTGTGGCAGGCGACCAGTTTTGAACTGCTCAGATGTGGGTTCAGGGGGTTTGCGTTTGTAAAAACGTCGCCATACGGCCCAGCGTGAGTTCTTGGCAAATCGAGTGTCGAGTCGACGCCAGTAACTTCGCCACCAAATGCTCGGCTTGCCAGAGTTCTGCTTGAGTTCCTTGTGCAGCTGCCGCGCGTAGGCCAATCCCGATTCGTATGCCAAAGTCATCCTCTCGAAGCCCATGCTGAAGCCCAGCACAACGATATCGTAGACCAAGTAGAACAGCCATGTCAACAGTTTCAGGGTGTAGATCCACCAGGTATGCAGAATACGCTTGGCCAACTCATAGTTGCGGTTGCTGGAAAAACCGTTGGCATGGGTGGGCGAGTTTGATGAGGAGTAGGCATTGCTTCGATTGCGCTTCGATGAGTAGGAGTAGCCAGAAGTGCTATTCGAGTTAAGATTCGAGGAGGAATACCGTTTGGACGAAGAGGAACTAACATTGTTATTGCTGGAGTAATTGAAGGTGCTATTGTTACTGCTGCTCCCCAAATTGCTGTGGGCTCCAGTGTGATTCGAGTGACTGGCATAGGAATTGGTCCTGTTACTGCCTGACTTTCGTGATAAGGAGCTGAAATTGGTGGCCGGAGTCGAACTGCTGTGACTCGGCAAGCTGCTGTTAGAGGGGACAGAAGCGGAACTTATCTTTTGCTCTGAAGACTTAAGGATGTTACTGTTTAAGTTCTTCGGCTGAAGTGGCCGCTTCTTTTCCTGATTAATGGCCTTGCTTGATTTGATCTGCGTCTGAGGAGTGGTCTGTTGGAGGGACTGCGAGTGTTGCACCTTGAGCGGCGCCGCCTGGTTGGCCGGACCACGCTTCTTGCCTCGGCTGGCATGCGCATGACCAACACTGGCCTGTGCCGAACCAATCTCCTTGGCATCGTGCATAGGTGAACGCTTTGCCGTGCGCATCTCACGATTTCCATTTCCATCCTCCTTCCCCTGACGCCGCTGCGGTTGTGTACTGTAGTCGACTCCGTTGCCCGCGCGTATATCTGCCCCTGCAGCACTCAACTTCGTTCCTTTGCTGAGGACATCCGAGTACGACATGGGCATGGGCTTTACCTCGGCCACGATGCGCTTCTTGCCCTCGGGCTGGCCAGGCACAACAACGCACGACTTGTTGATGGCAGTTGGTGAGACGGTGGCAGTGCCCAAAGGCATTTTGTGGGCCTTGACAGTTTTGGAGGCCACTGGCAGTGGACTGACGGACTTCGACGGGGGCTCCGGGGGCTCCTGCTTCGGAAGCTGCGGCTGCTGGGTCGCCAGGGGGTCAGCCTGGTGGATGTCATTTTCGTTAGCCTCATCCCCGAATTGAATGTAAGTCCCGCCAGTCAGGTTCGGTGACCAGTTGTTAACCAGGTTGTTGATGAGCAGATTGGCACTGCTCGGTGAGTGAATGACTTGGGGGGCAGTAGGACTCTGAGACTGCGTCTGCTGGGACTGGCGCTGCTGGGCTTCTTGTTGCTGGGCCTGCGGCAAGGTCAGAGGATTCGTGGCAAACAGTTCGTAGAGCGGAGTCGGCTGAGGCGGAGTCGGCGGAGCGGTCTGATGGTGCTGCAGCTGATGGTGGTTCAGCGGGGCCATGTTGATATGCGTGAAGAGCGGAGCGCTGGACTCGCTGACCTGGTTCTCCGGGCAGTGGTACACCTTGAGGAAGTTTCCGTGTCCCACGGGCAGCACCGAGTAGGTTTCCGGCTGGCCTGGCTGCCCGGAATATGTAAGGTTGTACAGATACTCGTTGTACAAGTGCGGCTGTGGCTGCTGCTGTTGGAGATGGGGCGGAAACGGGGGAGGTGGCCACATCATGGGCCCAGGCGCCTGGCCGTGCTGCTGCTGGTGGATTAGGTAGTTTTGGTTTTGGTGCTGCTGGTGGACCAGGAAGTTGGCCACTTCCTCCGTGTGTGGCAGGACGCGAATGGGGGCTGGCTCGGCCCCGCCGCCTCCCATCTCGTCGTCCTGACGTGTCGCCATGTCCCGCGATGGAGCCTGTGCTTTTTGCGCACTAGCTCCCCTCTCCTATTGGAATATCATGCGTGCCTCATGGGTTCACCGCCTGCGAAACTAACACGAATCTGCTGCAGTCCCAGCGAAGAGTGGTCCTTGCTGGCTTGGCTTGGGCCTACTTTTCCACGCCAAACCCAAAATAAAACCCGATGCGTGCGTGTGTAAGACTTTTAATCTTCTTATTGCAAACGTCAAATGTTGCAAGAAGAAGAGGGCCACTACATTACAACCATCTTTGCGAACACCCGTGAATGTCATTTGCGAGTCGCAATCGTAAACAAATCATCGATAAACGTTTGCGGCCTGGCAAAATAATCCATTTACTCTTTAATTTAAAATTTATGTTTTTAAATTAGTGGGAAATCGCGATTAAACTAATATCCAGGCCTTTTTTAAATTGGAACAAGTCTGTGAATGATGTCAAAATATCGAAGGCTTATCGATAGCCCGAGGGGATTATGCAGCCCTGGTTAATATTTGGTAAATATTAAACCATTCAGAATGGATACTATTATTGAACAACCAAAAGATGTCTTCAAGCCGACCGCTGGTGACCGTGGTACGTGCCGGACGCATTAGCTACCTGGCGGGACTGCAGTTGCAGCAACACCTGGCTAAGTCTACCCAGATCCTCGATCCGCCCTCGGAGTTCCGAAATTACCTGGTTTTACAGGAGCACGATCCCGTCTACACAGTCGGCCTGAGGACGAAGGACTACACGGCGGAGGATGAGCATCGACTGCGCCAGCTGGGGGCAGACTTCCATCGCACGGATCGAGGCGGCCTGATCACATTCCACGGTCCCGGCCAGTTGGTGGCCTACCCCATTTTACACCTGCGCCAGTTCAGAGCGAGCATGCGCTGGTATGTCGCCTCGCTGGAGCGGATGGTTATCGAGACGTGCCGTCAGCTTGGCATTCACAGAACCACGACCACCAAGGATACCGGCATATGGGTGGGCGACCACAAGATCTGTGCCATCGGTATCCATGGCTCCCGTTACGTCACCACTCACGGAATTGGCCTCAATTGCTGCACGGATCTGCAATGGTTTGAACACATTGTGCCGTGCGGAATTATGGGCAAGGGTGTGACCTCGCTTAGCAAGGAACTGGATAGGCACGTCACCGTCCAGGAGGCCAGTAGCGCTCTTCTGAGGAGCTTCGCCAGCGTATTCGAATGTCGCCTGGAGGATAAAGATAGAGCCAAAGAAAATTATGTTGCGGAAAACTGTTCAGAAATTGTATAACGTTTTTTATGTTAATTGCACATTTTAGAACTCGGAAATGAGCGCTATGCGCAATGCTTATAATGAACGTAGTGAAGGAATTATATTATTACAAATTCATGACCACCGTCAACAGCCGAGTCGATCTAGCCATCCGTTTCTACGCCAAAGTTTCTTTCAGTGTAAAAGTTATATACATTAATCTTCCCAAAGGTCTTCTTTTTATTGCAGGAAGGAAGCTAGCCTCGGCCAGACGAAGCTATATACCCTTTCAGATCATTTTTATTAAATTACAAATTACAATATGTTTAATTTCGTATTATTTTGACATTAATTTTTCTATTCCTCCTATGGTTAAATTAAATTCAAAATTATGAAATATTAAAAAAAGTCTATCCCAGATTAGAAGAGAATAAAACCGACGGAGCTATAATTTCAAAGTTTACAACCCTCTTTTTTTTTTTTTGGCTTTGTTTTCAGCAATGCTTGCTGATAGTGATGGTCGCACGACGTGTGCATATGACCAGATACGATATATCGGGATAGTATCGCATGGATGCTTCCCGAACAGCGGGGTTGGCCGGTGGCAAATCCACGAATTACCTTTCTACATGGATATAATTAACGTTAAATAAAAATTACCTACAAGTTGATTTGTGCTTCATTAATAAATTTTGCAACTTCTCTATAAAAAAGCTGCTCTTTTGATAAAATGAGATCTGAAATATTAAAGAAACGATTAAAGATTTTATATTTTCTTCTGATCAAGATATGTCTTTGGCAGTTAAAAATTTGGTGATTAGCATCGTCGATCAGATTACATAAGGTACAAAGATTGCTGTCAATTGCCTTAATACGAAACAGAAAACAATTGTCATATGTAGACTCAGTCATTAATCTATTAATCAATTTAATGTCTTTTGCATTCCATTTAAGTCTTATGTGCCACGGAATAATTGATAATGTAGGATAAGTCTTCGCAAAGATGCCTCCATCCTCCCTTGCTAATCTTTCGTACTCAGATCCCCATTCTTTCCAAATCTCTTGATTTAGCAATCTTTTAGCTTCACCTATACTAAGTTTGTAATCAATATCAGTGCCATCATAAACGGCCTGTTTAGCTAAAAAATCAGCCTTTTCGTTTAAGTCTAGAGACATATGACCAGGTATCCACTGCAGGTAGCATGAGGATATACACGAAATACTAAGAAGATTATGAATATCAGATACTGTGTTATTATCACAGTTTTTGTTACGTAGTACCATAAGCGCGCCCTTACTATCTGTAAGTATGGCCACCTTCCTCCAGTTAGATTTAATAGCTAGGATACAACCTTGTTTAATTGCTAAGAGTTCAGCCTGAACCGAGCTCATTCTATTCTCTATTTTGTACATTTCATTACTCCTATCACAGATAGCGGCTATGCCGAGTCCTGTGCACGAGCTTGTGACAGAGGCATCCGTGGATATGATATTGTAATCATTCTGCCTGAAATAACTGATCAATTCACTGTATCTACCTTTGGCCTCCTCTTTTGCAATATCCTTTTTGTTGTTAGACGAAAAATTTAGTTGGATAACAATATTCTTAAAATACGTATAATGATCTGCAATTTGTATTCTGTCAATGATAAGTTTGAGTGAATCATAGACTACCTTATAGCTGGTTTTAATATTAGAATTAATAATTGTATTAAATCTGTTAACATCGATTGTTTTAAGCTTAATGAGTTCCTTAGCAGTCAAGATTTTAGCTCTATAACAAGGCGGGATAACACCAGCTAAAGCAAAAACCATAAATTTTGGGGTAAAAGGATTTACTCCAACACATCTTCTGAGAGATTTTGCCTGTGTAATGAACAACTGTTTACTGGAAGACTTTGTAAGATTACCATATGAGGTGAGTGCGTACTCATTCTTTGACCTAATAAAGGTCTTAAAAATGTTAGTCGCAACTTTTGGTCTTAAACCTGACTTAATTGTGGTTGCTAAGTTTAAAATTTGCATCGCATTATTATTATCACCTTTGATTTTTTTAACTTGTTCAATCTGGGAACCGTTGGACGAGATTATCCTACCGAGTAACTTTGTATTCCTCACTTGCCTAATAACTCCACTAGTTGCTTGAATGTTAAGAGTTCTACTATTTCCGTTGCACATAACTAGTGAAACGGTTTTACCTGAGTTGAAGGACATATTGATATCACTGCATAGCAGTTCGAAGTCATTGATTTTAGACTGTAAGTTATCCTCCATATCTTGAAAAAATCTCTTACTGGATAAGATGATAAAATCGTCTGCGAATTGAAAAACCTCAGTATTCCTGTCTTGTATTTGATGTAAGCGTTTCGTGTACAAATTAAAGAGAACAGGCGACAAACAACTGCCCTGCGGAATACCTCCTGTTACTGTTTTAGTGTATTTACCTAGAGTTAGTATTCTGATTTTAAAAAAGTTATGTATCCAATTGATAAAAATTGGAGGAATGTTTTCCGAAACCATAATTCTTTTGAGGAAATTCAAATTGACGCAATTGTATGCATTCTCAAGATCAAGAATTACCATTGCCACGGACTTTTTACGTGATTTGTATAGCTCACACGAGTTTAAAATATCGTTCAGACACATAGCAGCTGATCTGTTTTTCCTATAAGAGAAACACCTAGCAGGCAAAATGTACTCACTTTCAATAAATTCACACAACCTTTCCTTAATCATTTTATTTATCGTTTTGGCAAAAACAGATATAAGGGAAATGGGTCTGAAGTTCTTGTAATCCGTAAGGTCCTTATCTTTTTTGGGAATAGGAATAATTTTAATTATTCTCCATTCCTCGGGAATCCTATTGTCTCTGATTAATTGATTAAAAAGCTTCAGCATGTGTGATTTACAATTAGAGTCAAGGTTGTTTAACATCTCAAAAGTTACACCGTCATGACCTCCAGCACTTTTCTTTTTTTTGCTTAAAACCAGGTTAAGATCAACTAAGTTAAATTCTTGAAAGAGTTCAGCATCCACTATTTGATCATGAAACATTGAGTTCGAAACATCCGTTGGTATTTGTTGTTCCAGATACTGCAGATAGTTTTCTTGATCAGACATATTTAATTTACAATAGTTACCAGAATCTAAATTTTTAAGAGCTTTTAGGAAGTTCCAAGCAGACTGATTAGAAGGTTGTTCATTTATTTCTTCTAATTTCTCCATATAAGAGAGACTCTTTGCAGCTTTCACAGCCTTTTTCCATACTGCCTTTACATTGACAGCTAAAATATAGTTATCCATTGAAGGGTGTCTGTTAGCTAAGGTCTGAGTAGCCTTGTATCTCTCGAAAAGAATTTTGAGGTCATTATTCCACCACAGTTTAGGAATCCTATTCTTTTTGATAATGTAAGTAGATTTTTTAATTTTTTCCTTAATGGTACTAGCTATGTTAGTAATGTCACCGTTTAAAACCGTTTTTCCTAAACTGTTCAATAATCTGTTTTTTGCTATGAAGGTACTGCTTTTCATTGCTGTATCAAGAACTTCTATATTTACAGGGTGGTGATGACTACCACCAACAAATAAAGGTTTGCACTCCCAGGATGTACTGAGCCCAGCATTTGTGAAAGCTAGATCCAGCACAGAACCTTGCGCACTATCAATATGTCTTCTGTACGTAGGACTACCAGAGTTCAGGCAAACAAAACCAGCATTGTTCATTGATTCAATAAGAAATTTACCTCGAGCATTGTTAGTATAATCACCTAGGACTGTATTCCTGGCATTGAAATCACCAATAATAAAGACATTGTTTAAATTATCAGAAAAGTCAAGAATATTTAGAATTTCACACTTGAAATCATCCATGGATAATGAAGGTTCAAAATACACAGAAATCATAGTTATATTGGGGTTTAGGTTTAATGTTGTTGCAACAATAACGTCGTTATCAGTCCTGTAAGTAATGCTTTTGAATTTAATACATTTTCTAAACGCAATGGCCACACCTCCATAATTGTCGTCTCTATGTTTCTCAATTATATTGAAAAGCGCAATCTTTCTTCGATTGTTTAACACATTGTGAGAAAAAACTTCAGAAAGAACTGCAATGTCATAGTTATTGTTATTTAAGACAAACTCAATATCGTTTTTATTATAAGATAAAGATTGGACATTATGTTGATAAATTTTAATAGGCATTTAAATGATTAACGGTCGTCATATCAGATTTATTACGTGTTAGTTTTCTTTTGTCTTGCTTTAAAAATTCTATTTTATTTTGTATTTTCATGACACTTTCCAGAATTTCACTCTTACCCTCAGCAAGAGGTAAAATAAGTTGAATTAAGTCCTTAATGAGTAAAAATGTACTGTCTTTTTCTGAAATTTCCTCTCTGTCTGGATATTTAAATTTCCAGTCAGATTTCACATGTTCATAGGACTCCAAAGGAGGGAAATTGGGTTTCATAATAGGTGCAGTCGGTCTCTGCACTAATCTGGTCACATAGGAATGTTTTTTTTAATGATTTGTTCACTACCTCATCTCTGTTGACTGTCACCGGAATGCTTGTCTGAGTTAATGAAGGAAAATCTTGATCATACTTATTAAAAACCTGAAATTCACTGGGCAAAGAATATTTCTCCAGGACTTCCTTCCTGGACATTTTTTGAATCGTCATTAGTTTCATTAAGTGCATCTCTTTTGCCCATACAGGGCATTCATACCTACTCCAGGAATGATGATCTGGGCTATTACACAAAATACACTTTTTAACTTTACAGGTATTTTTACAGTCCTGGGCACCACAGCTCCTGCACCTATCCTTAGCCTTGCAGCGACTTGTGGTGTGATTTAGTCGTCCACATTTAAAACACTGTCTAACATTGGGAATAAAGTGAGTAACTTTTAGGTTAATAACTCCAAACACAGAAATCGACTCCGGAATTTCGGTACCTAAGAAATTAATTTTAACTGATTCTGTAGGCTCCAATTTAAACGTGTTTTCTCCATCAGTATTAGTACTTTTCACCTTTCTACAAATCCTTTCCACACTCTTGACCTCAATCAACGAATCAATGTTCGCCTCAAGTTCTTTGTCACTCAAGTCAACAGGAACGTTCCTGATAACACCACTGGTTTCAGTAAAATTTTTCGGTATAAACGCACTTATTTTCATATCAGCTAGCTTTTTGTTTAAAACACACGCATTGGCATCTCTCCACTCCTTAAAGACAACTTTATAAAGCTTCGCACCTAATACAACTATGTTACAGATATTTTTCAAACCTACGTCTTTTATTTTACCAAAAAGATAAAGACCATTTTTAGCAATGATGTTTTCCGTACTCTTACACTCCTTGGTGTCCAGCAGAACACTTGCTACTCCAACGTGGAGCACATCGTAAAGATTTTCAGTCCTGTCAGAAGAACCATTGTTGCTAACTGCGTTGTTGTTGCTACTGGTAGCTTGATATTTGAGGTTAACCGGCTCGTTAGCTGGAAATGAGACACCTTTAGCGCCCTCGTCCATTACATCAAAAAATGAATTCTCAGAATCCATAGAGCTTGTGGACTCTTTATTAGAACTTAAATTCGCGAGCTTTAAAACATGCTGATCATCAAGATTATTCAGTACAAGTTTTCTTTTCTTAGAATCATCACTTCGACTTATATTTTTGCTAGCACTGCTGATGTTTAAATGGCCGGCCGCCGAATTTTCGGCGTCCGCCATGTTTTTCGCCGGCTTGACCACCTTTTTTTGCCAAAGACTCACCTTATTCAGAAAAAAATCTTTAAAAATCTCCTCTAAAAAGAGTAATCGGGATTTAAAAAGAATAAATCACAAATAAACAAGACTTTATCTACTCAATGGTAGTATTCTTTCTAACCACACTGATTTAAATCTTCACTTAATTAGAGCACTATCCAAGGCACGTCCGTCCGCGCCCGCTGCCAAAAAGAGAAGGGTTTACAACCCTCGCAGGTAAAATAAATACCAAGTGTTCCAGTAATATATTTAAAATGTTGGTTTAAATTTGTCAAAAATCAAAACGCCTACTTTCTACAAAATTTCAATGTTTTTTCTATTATTTATTTGACTACTCCTATGGGAGCCATAAGATATAGTGGTCCGATCCGGCTCGTTCCGACATATGTATGTACTACCTGCAAAAGAAAGAAGACTTTTGAAAAATTCTCTTCGTGATAGCTTTAAAACTGAGAGTCTAGTTCGTATAGAAGCGGACAGACGAGCATGGCTAGATGGACTCGGCTGGACGCACAGACAGACATGGCTATATCGACACGGCTAGTGTCCCTGATCAAGAATATATATACTTTATGGGGTTGGAAACGCTTCCTTCTAGCTGTTACATACTTTTGCACGAAAACAATAATAACCAAAAACTAATTTTTGTGTATATTGGTGGGGTTTGTCATAAAAATAATCAAACTTTATTTCAAATTTTTAGTAAGGCTCAGGATCAAACTAATTAGAAACCTAATTTGGTGCAAAATCATGTGGAAATATGTTTTATTCAAGTTTAAAGTTATTTGGCTTGGTGGACTTTTTGGTGGAAGTGCCCATATGTGATATGTTCTTGAGTTACGGCAGATTACGCGTACATCTCGAATTCTTATCCATTAGGTTTCTATTCACCAATCCTCATCCAACATTGTGTAATATTTTTGTATTTTTTTGTTAGTACTAACTATTTAATTTAATACTAACTATTAACTATAGCCCTTGAATGGTCGAAGTTAGTCTCCTTTCTTGTTTTCATTTAATTTCACTGCAGGTTTAGACATCATACAATATTCCTGAACACAATTAGGGTATTCAAATGCTTTGCAAAAGTTTAAAAAGTGTAAGCAGTTCAAACAACAATTTCTATTCAAAATAGTTTTCAAGGCCTTCAATACCTTAGCCTATGTATACAAATCTGTTGTACTTGTGTAAAAATAATGGTTTCGAATAGAGGTTTTAAATACTACAAAAGCACTAAAAAGTCGGGTGATGACAACCCAAAAGCCAATTATCGCTTTAGAATTCGGGTATAGATTTTGTTCCTTTTGGCGACCAATGTTTGTTTATTTGGTAAATGCTATTGTTAAACCATGCATATCTAGCCAAAGTTTTCGCTGTTTTATTTTCGGATTTTTGGATATTTAAATGCGGGCTTAGATAGGACAGTAAGGAAATGACCTTCTTGACCAAGAAGTTGGTCACCCAATCAGCTGAAAAACTCGCGATTTAACCAACTTTTTGGTGAAACCAAACAAGAATGTCCGTCTCCACACATTTAACGCCTAAGAAGACGCGGACTTCTACTATAAAGTTAAGAGGGGGAAATTTGTATTTACAAATGGCAGTCATGTTTTAGGCAAAGCCTCCCTTGCATTTATTTTTCCATCAAAAATCATCAAGCAATATATAAAAAATAGTGAGCCTTTTCTTATAAGTCAATATCTTGCAAACATTTTTTTAAAAAGGGTAGTTCACAATTATTGTCTGGCAAACTTAAAAATTTTACACTTTTGCAATGCAGTTGAATATCCCAAATGAATTTGGTTTCGAAACTATCGAATCTATAAAGCGAACGGAACCGAATCTTCAGCTAGAGGAATTTCTCTAAATCTTTCATGTCAATCGGATTACTACGAACTTAATTTCTTTAACATTTCGATAGCTATAAATAAACACAACAAAATTGAAAAATTTATATTTTTCAAAATCTTTTAAGATGTGGGGGCCAGACACATTTTAAAACCATTTAAGGCGATTAAGGGCGTTATGGGGGAGTAGAATTTGCATGGTTTATCTCAATTTTCTAGATTGTATAGTTTCCGAGATCTCAGCGTTCATACAGACAGACAGACATACAGACAGACGGACAGAGGGGCCGACGGACATTGCTAGATCGACTGTGCTAGTGATCCTGTTCAAGAATATATACTTTATATGCTCGGAAACGTGTTTTTCTTCCTGTTGCATTCATTTTCACAAATATTCTATGAGTAACGGGTATAAAAATTATACAAACTTCTGACAAAAACTATAATACCCTCAGCAGGGAAATAAAAAACACACAAAACGTGCTGTTCTCTATGTAACCTCCATTCTTATCTGACCAATTAAGGCCATTTTCTCGCCCGCATGTTAAATTTTACATTTTCTGGGTTTAAACTTAAAAAAAGAGAATTTTGACATTCTACGAGAAATCGGACCTAGCTTTAAATTGAAATTAGTATTACTTGGAGGCGTTATGGAGTTCGCCTGGTCATAATATCATCATGTAAAACGAGCATTGTTTAGATCACATTTTTTTGAACGTCCATCCGTGGGAATCTTTCCCCGTGCCTTCATCTCCACGCGGCCCTGTTCTCGCTGCTCAGCCTTTCGCATACGACGCTCCTTCCGTGACTCCAAAGCGTTATTGAAGTAACGTTCTCTAAAATCCTGCGATAGAGTGGGCATCTGTGTTGCCGTAACCAAGGATGGGTCTGGTGAACTGTACTCGGCACACTTTTCATAGGTGAGCAGGCGGCGTGCAGTGTTTCCAGTCAAAGGCTGCTCGGAGTTGGCCACCAGATGCAAGTACTGATGATGTGGTAGGATCTTGGGGTCGTAGTCCTCGCGGTGGAAGGGCAGCCAACAGACAAGACGTCCGCCCAGTCTCAAATGCCTCGCGGCGAACTCCATTAGATCTCCGTATAGACTCTGCAAGGAATAATGCGACGTTGACGGATAATGTACCATGTCCTCTCTTTTGATGTTGTCCTTTGAGCTGTTCTTCGTCTGCACCTTTTCTGTAGCTTCGCGTATTCCGTATGGAGCTTAAAATAATAGATAGTCAAATTATTCATTTTTTCAAACGATTGAATGCGATACTAGACATCTGCATGACTGGAATCAAACAGGCTTTGAAATGATTCCATTCGAATAGAACAGAGTTGAGTAAGGCTCAGCACACTATGACTAGAATGGATTGAATCTTGGTCCGTATAGAGTATGACAGCAAAGGCCCAGAGTTAAACGAGGGACAGAGTAAACAGAATGTCATATTTGAGTAGTCTGAAATCATTCGAGTTATTCGAATCCTTTCGATTTTCATACATGACTTCATAAGGTCAAAATAGAGAATTAAATTTGTTTTGCTATACAGTCAGTCACAAAAGTATTCGTTGCGACGCGTTTCACAAACAAATTGAATTTTTTTTAACATTAACGTAACATATTAATTTTTTTATTAACGATTTTTATAAACGATACCTCATTATACCCTTGCAGAGGGTATTATGATTTCAGTCAGAAGTTTGCAACGCAGTGAAGGAGACGTTTCCGACCCCATAAAGTATATATATTCTTGATCAGCATCACAAGACGTGTCGATCTAGCCATGTCCGTCTGTCCGTCCGTCTGTCCGTCTGTCCGTCTGTCTGTTTCTACGCAAACTAGTCTCTCAGTTTTTGAGCTATCGGGACAAAACTTTCGCAAAAGTCTTCTTTCTATTGCAGGTAGTATATATGTCGGAGCCGACCGGATCGGACAACTATATCTTATAGCTCCCATAGGAACAATCGGAAAAAAAACTTTAAAAAATTCTAGCTTCGGTGTTTTTTGAAATATTACCTTCTACTTTTGGGGATGTTATTTTTTAAATATTTCTGAATTTCGAATTAATTATTTAAAAAATCGGACCACTATATCATATAGCTGCCATAGGAACGATCGGAAAATTAATGGAAAAGTAGTAGGAAAAAAATTCTAGCTTCTTTGGTTTTTATTGTATTATTTTCTACTCTAGGATATGACTCTTTTTAAATATTTCCGAATTTCAATTTTAATTTAATCAAAATCGGACGACTATATCATATAGCTGCCATAGGAACGATCGGAAAATTAATGAGAAATATTAGAAAATTGAACATTTTTGCGATTTGTTAATTAATAGGAATGATCTGCAAGGGTATATAAGCTTCGGCTGGCCGAAGCTAGCTTCCTTTCTTGTTTTTTTTTTGTTTTTAATCGTTTAATACAGCAATGAAGCTACTTTTTGTTTATTTTTTTTTATATTTTTTATGTTTTGAATATGTGTTTAGACCAGCGGTCGGCAGCGTCCTATTAAGTGAGCATAGGGTTTTGTTCTGCTCAGCCGCTGCTCGCTCACGTACACTGTAGAACAGCGGTCTGCACACACACATCGATGAGCTGCCCAGTGCAAATTACTCACACAAATATAAAACAAAATGTCAACGTATGTGTGTGCCGACCGCTGGTTTAGTCTAATAAAAATAATAAAATAATTAATTAATAATTAATAATGTAAAAAAAAACTCAATTTAAAAAATTGACAAAAAGCCAAATATATGTATATGTTTTTCGTCTGAGTTGTTCGTGCTCTCATTTACTCGATTCGTTTTCCATCACCTTTTCTGGTTCGACTGAGTTTTAAGTCAGCTCATTCAACTCATGTTGAACATTGTCAATTCGAATAAGTAATTTTTTGTTATTTATGCAGATGTCTAGTCGATACCTACGATCTGTTATGATACTGTCGAAGGAGATGCGAGGGTGCCACAACCGGTTGGAGAAATCCGCCACCACGACGTCCACGTAGCGATCGCCACAGCCGTATTGCTTTAAGTTGGCCCGAATGCTCTCATCCTTTTCTCGCACCTTCTGGGTAATGCGGCTCGGTCGACAGCGGGCATGCACCATCATGTAGTCTATATCGGCTCCGAGAACATAGCCACCCCACTTTGCCGCGCTAACGAGGAGCGAGCCCGTGCCAACGAAGGGATCGAATACCAAGTCACCTTCGTTCACCATTGCCTGGTTGGCCATCAGCAGGCTCAGCTGGGCATCCATGCTCGTGTTCCCTATGAACTTCCGCTGCTTAAGCGACAGCTCCTTGATCAAATGCCTCTGACCAGAGGCCAACAACCGGCCAAATAAAATGGCCTCAGGGTCGGGCGGTACAGCTGTTGGATCCAGGCCCCAAAATTCGATGTACCACCACTCCACCTGGGGATTCTTTAGGTTGACTGGGCCCTCTATGGGCAAGTAATCCATAGACTCGATTTTAGCGACCTTTTCGCGCTGACTGAAGTGCTTGTTGTAGGTCTCCACTACGATCTTGAAGCTGGTGTCCGGCTGGAAGTATCCTGCCAGCGAGTTGCGGTTCGTATTTAAATGATCTCGGAGCCTCTCGTGAAACTCGGGCAAATTGCTGGCGTGGGCGTACAGCTCGAAAATGCCGCGCAATGAAACGGATCGGGATGCGTACTTCAGGGCAGACTCCTGGTTTTGGAACTCGACCAGCCAAAAAGGTCTCTACCAAATTAAAAATAATTAAATATGGATTATCATTGTGGACGACAGTCCACAAAGAGACAAAAGACAAAAAAAAAACAGAAAATTTGTATTTCAACAATTTAACTTATTTCTTAATTTAATTTGTTTAACTAGATTTATTTTTGTTTTAATTTGTTATATAAATGTACTAGCTATACCCGAAGCGACTTCGTTCGCTTTATATTAGTTTGGAGTTAGGAAATTGGGTTGTCAGGACATTCTTATTTCTTATTTGCGCGTTTTTTGAAAACCTTTGTGTAAACAACCTTGCAATTTTAATTTGCGCACAAATATGTAAACTTGGTTGTAAATTGGAATTTGTTGTTTTCAAATTTTTTGTTTTGAATGAAACGAAAACCTTTGTACACACAGTAAAAGATTGGAATCCAATACAAAAACAGCAAAGTAACGTATTATTTTCAGATTCCATATTTGATCGATAGCACAGGCCGACAAAATGTGACATGGGTCGGTGTCCAGGCCTGCCACCATTTTATTTCGATAAATGAGGCTTTTCTAAGCATAAGTTGCCACTACGCCTATAGTCCATCAGCTATGGTATTTGCGGTATCTTTAATTTAAGAAAATCACAAATTTTCTTCGGCTTTTGGGATATATCTTCAAGAGTGGTCAACACATTTTGGAAATCTTTTCGGAATTAAATAGTTACATGTTCCTTTTATACGGTCGTTTTGGAAAATTCAATCTAAGTCAACCACAAGAGGAGGTGGGCGCATTCAAAATTTTAAAGTCACAGCAAAGTTTAAAAAATCTTCATTTGTGAACAGCGTTTAAGAATTAAATAAAAATATTTTCTTCTACGATGCATTTTTGATCCAAAGACACCTTATGTCCTTAATTTTTAGGACACTCATCAGGTTTTTGTGAATTGTTTTGGAATTTTTAAAATTGTTTTTCTTCCTTCCTTCACAGTGACAATTCACAAACAGTGCCCAAACCTGTCACAATTTTACGTAACGCATAACTATTTTTGAGCACAAGTGACCCTTGCTTTAAAAATATTTATACATGGGCGTAAGTTAAAAGCTGGAGGGGGATTACACTTCAGGCATTTCAGCCCCCAAAGATTAGTAGCCTACGCTCATGTGCTTATATTCAAAGCAAAACTACTTAGATCGTTTAGAAATATGTTATTTAAAATTGTGACAGGTTTGGGCACTGTTTGTGAATCGTCACTGTGAAGGAAGTAAGAAAAACAATTTTAAAAATTCCAAAACAATTCACAAAAACCTGATGAGTGGCTTAAAAATTGAGGACATAAGGTATCTTTGGGTCAAAAATGCATTGTAGAAGAAAATATTTTTATTTAATTTTTAAACGCTGTTCACAAATTAAGATTTTTAAACTTTGCTGTGACTTTAAAATTTAGAATGCGCCCACCTCCTCTTGTGGTTGAGTTAGATTGAATTTTCCAAAACGACTGTACACACAAAAAAATTTGCTTGGTAAAATTGATTAACAAAGATAGTTACGTAACTATTAAAATAGTAACGTGTGTTTTGTTTTTGCTTTGGGTTTGTGTCTTTGCTAATTGTGTGTATTTTGTTGTTGTGAAATGACTATTTACTTAGTAGAATTGACAATTTTGCTGGTTGGGGCCTGTTTGACAATTATTACAGTTGATTTTACCAAGTTTTTTTTTGTGTGTATAAAAGAGACATGTAACTATTTAATTCCGAAAAGATTACCCAAATTGGTTGACCACTCTTGAAGATATATCACAAAAGCCGAAGAAAATTTGTGTTTTTCTTAAATTAAAGATACCGCAAATACCAGAGCTGATGGACTATGGGCGTAGTGGCAACTTTTGCTTAGAAAAGCGTAATTTATCGAAATAAAATGGTGGCAGGCCGGGACACCGACCCATGTCACATTTTGTCGGCCTGTGTAGTTATTAATTTTAAGCTCGAATAATTTTGCATTGGCTGAAAGGAAATAAATCATTTTATTTGTATTTAAGCACATTATCTAGTTTCGAATAGAAACATACACACACATTGTGTGTATGTACATGTATTGTAGATACATATATTATCAAATCAAAACATATCCAAATGTACATATGTACATACGTATTTGGTCAAAAGTTCGAATCTTAAGATTAATATTTAACTTGGAAACATTTTGGCTTTGCTTACAGAATTTGTAGTAATTTTCTACTTTCTTCCACGGTGGAAATTAAATAAGGTTCTTACTTCTGCTACAAAATGAAAAATAAAACCTAAGCATTTGATCCACAGGACTGACTATTGATCGAAAATCATTTTGATCGGAGTTTAAGTTTTTAAAATCAAAAACAAATTTAACTTAAATTGCCTCTTTCCCCTCCCCTTTCCGTGCAGCACTACCCCACCCCATTTCTTGGCTGTTGCTCTCTCGGCCGTCGCTCTCTTGGCATCCGCTCTCTGGGTTTCGTTCTCTCGGCAGGCTCCCACAAAATGCAACGCAATAACTTAGGAAATCTAAATAAATTCGTTAAAAATACTTTAACAAAATGTTAAAAACTTAAAAAATTAAACTTAAGCATTTGGGCCATAGAATAACCATTTACCGAAAAATCATCTCGATCGGAGCAGTGGTTTAGATTTTTTAAATCGAAAAGTAAATTTTTAATGTAGCCCCCAAATTATGGGGGATATCGAAATTTCTTTTAGATTTCTAATTAGGTCCTTTCAAGACCTAAAATTCTGCAAATCAAAATTTCGAAATTCCAACCACTTTAGAAGTTAAGCTTAAGTAAGTCTAATGAATTTTAGAGATATAGAAGTTAATAATTACACTATGAAACAAAATTAATGCATCTTAAATTTACCTCGATGGATGCTATATTTTTGAATTCATTACGAATTAAATTGCGTTTTCGAAAAAGTTCCCCGACGCAAGGATTCCTAGCATAAGGACCCCAAATTTCGAAAAATGCTGAAATAGCCAACTTTTCTGAGGTTTCACAGGCAAACGGATTCATGGTTTGTTTCGATGTTAAAGTTTTTTAAAAGATACACTCTTTATCGGGTTACTTAGAATAATTTTAGAATTTTTTTAGGGAGAAACAAATTTAAGAAACCAGTCAAAAAACATAAAAACATATAGCTGCGGTCAAAATAGTAGTAGTGTTGCCTCCCTGTGGTTTTAAAAGTTTTCAGCCGAACGCCACGCCCCCTCTAACCCCCAGAATCATCCACAAACGATTTTAAAAAGTGTCTAGCGGCCACATTTTTAAGATTTCGGAAAATTAGAAATGCAATCTTGTTGCGTTTATTTGTACCTATCGAAATTTAGAAATTTTTCAAATCGGACCGTTCGTTAAAAAGTTATGCGGAATCAAAGTTTTATATCTCCATCTCCCTTTAGGTAACGGGTATCTGATAGTCGGGGAACCCGACTATTTTGTTTCTTTTCACCATTTCCAAGATATCTAATTTTTGAAGCGAATTTAAAAAACCCTATGTATATATCCAACGAGTACAGTTCTTACACGGTTTAAGATGTTAGTTTGCACAACTTAATTAATTACTGATATTACGCACATATATTAATCTCATTATTTTACCTCCGTCCCTTTATATAGCTGCCATACAAATCGATTCTTATTTTTCAGAAGGTAGGCTTTAAAAAATTAAAATTTTGAAACAAAAAATATTTTTTTAAAGATACGTTCTACGTACGAAAAAAAAATTATTTTAGCACTTAGGCCGTGCAACGGTTCCATATTTTGATTGCGCATAACTTTTTAATGTATGGTTTGAAAAATGTCTTCTTCATTTCGATAGGTATAAATATACACAACAAAACTGCATTTATACTTCTCGGAAATCTTGCGCTGCGTAGGAAACGCAAGAATAGCTTTTGTAGTTTCCGAGATCTCAGACAGACAGACGGACATAGCTATATCGACTCAGCTAGTGACCCTGATCAAGAATTTATATACTTTATAGGGTCGGAAACGCTTCCTTCTCCCTGTTACATACAATATACCGCTTTACTCTACGAGTAAAAGGTATCACTATGGTTTGGGAGAGAGAGGGGTGAAAGTGAAAAAGTAAAAATTTCAAATTTTTGGAGCTGTTGGGGCCGGTGGGGATAAAAGCCCCCTCGCAATGTTTTAGTTGTATTCCTATTGAAAATACCCGTCGAATGAGGGGTCATATGATAAAATCCGACGCTCCGTTCAAAAGTTATAGCCAAAATAAGATTTTCTTCTTCTTCCCAAAATGAAAATTTAATTCTGTTTGTCAGTTTGTCCGCTTGTCAGTTTGTCCAAAATATGTTTTTTAAGTTCTGAAAATTTGATATGACGTTCATCACATCGATATAAAAAACTTTTGTTCTACCACTTTTGGAAAAACCCGCTAGTTTAGGGGGAAAACAGCTATAAATAGCTAAAATTCGGAAAGCCGTAACTTCTATACATGCATCTCGTTTGAAAGGTATTTTTAAATGCTATAAACGCCTTCTATATGCAATTTGTGTAAATGTAATAGTTAAAAAGATATGAACAAAAGAAAATTTGTTTAAACTTTTTTTTAAGCTTTTTTTTTAATTTTCTCAAAAACGGCTCTAACGATTTTCCTTAGAACTTTAAACTGTATAGCCCTTGAGATTCCTTAAATTTTGGTATATTTCATGTTTATGTATATGTATATGTATATATATATATATATATATATATACACATTTAAACATTTTAATTGATTATTTTATTTTTTTTGCATGTAACTTTTTTTTAGTGTATTTGACATAATTAAAATTCCAAAGAAAATTGTTAATAATTGGCGCTTCAATGTAGAAATAAAAAAAACACATTTTTAGCCATAATTTTCAAATAATAATAATTTTAAAGTTTTGCACGAAATAAGCTGTGACATTAAAAAAGTCAATGATTTTAGTTGTTTTTAATTTTTAGTGTTATTCTATGAAATCTTAAAATAGAAAAGTGGGTTAATAAGGGCCAGAATACTACCTAACATAACTGCATTTAAATTTTGGTAAATTATCGTATAGTTTGTTAGCTATACGAGTTTGAATTTTAAGTTTACCTTTGCACGAAATAAGCTGTGAGCCACTGTATAAATATGCATATGTATATTAGGAAAACCATTCTCTTAAAATATTAAGTTATAGAACCTTTTATTTACCAAGGTCTCCTCTGTGAGCCTCCTGACCTGGAGTCCAAACATTTTAACCAGGGATTCGAACTCATGCACTCGAAAGTCAACATGCTCCTGGGCGAACCACAAGATGTATTTCCTATAGCTGCCCATGTTTAATTTAAGTTTTTAATTTGGATGAATTTCATATACAAGGCTTCCGCGTGTTTTTGTTTACATCGGGTAGGGCTGTCGTGCGGCCAGACCAACATCGCCAACTATCGATTGCAGACCTGCCCTATCGATAACAGCAGCGGGGTGCAGCCCTGCGACCCGTCAACTCGGCCATTTTGCATAAATCTCGCAGGCCACACGTAAGCGAGCCGAAGATTTAAACAATTTTCAGCAGCTCCAGGTCTCAGAACCGTCCAGACCTGTTAACAAAATCAACTTCAAGTGCCGCCGCAAGTAATTCAAGCAATCGAAAATGGCTCGGTACACGCAACGCCCGGAAAATGCTCTAAAAAGAGCCAATGGTGAGTGTGTTGAAAATTTTCCATGCGGTGGCCGAAGAGAACCGCTCCGTCACCGCGAAACTGCCGCTCACTTAATACTCTCTCTCTTCGTCTCTCTTCGCCGCAGAGTTCATCGAGGTGGGCAAGCCTCTAAGGGCGCTGGACACTCTGCAGGAAGTGTTCCGGAACAAGCGATGGAACTACGCCTACTCGGAGACGGTCATTGAGCCGCTCATGTTCAAGTACCTGTACCTGTGCGTGGAGCTCAAGAAGTCTCACATCGCCAAGGAGGGCCTTTTCCAGTACCGGAACATGTTCCAGCTGGTTAACGTGAACTCATTGGAGAACGTGATCCGCGGTTACCTGAAGATGGCGGAGGAGCACACTGAGGCCGCCCAGGCGCAGTCCTCAGCGGCCGTAGCCGTTTTGGAGCTGGATGACTTGGACAATATCGCCACGCCCGAAAGCATTCTGATGAGCGCTGTGTGCGGTGAGGACGCCCAGGACCGCTCGGACCGTACCATCCTGCTGCCGTGGGTCAAGTTCCTCTGGGAGTCCTACTGCCAGTGCCTGGAGCTGCTCCGCGTCAACACCCACTGCGAGGCGCTATACCACGACATCGCCCGGATGGCCTTCCAGTTCTGCCTCAAGTATAACCGCAAGAGCGAGTTCCGGCGCCTGTGCGACAAGCTGCGCAAGCACTTGGAGGACATCTGCAAGAGCAGCAACCAGACAACCGGCGTCTCGATCAACAAGGTGGAGACTCAGCAGCTCTGCCTGGATACCAGGCTATACCTGCTCGACTCCGCCATCCAGATGGAGCTGTGGCAGGAGGCCTACAAGGCAATCGAGGACATCCACGGCCTGATGGCCCTGTCCAAGAAAACACCCGTGCCTAAGACCATGGCAAACTACTACCAGAAGCTGGCCATGGTCTTCAGCAAGGCGGGTAATCAGCTCTTTCACGCTGCAGCCCTGCTGAAGCTCTTTCAGCTGACGCGCGAGCTCAAGAAGAATCTGACCAAGGACGACCTGCAGCGCATGGCTGCCCACGTCCTCCTGGCCACTCTGTCTATACCGCTGCCCTCGGCCCATCCAGAGTTCGACCGGTTCATCGAGGCGGACAAGAGCCCTCTAGAAAAGGCCCAGAAGCTGGCTGTGCTCCTTGGCCTGCCGCAGCCGCCCACCCGGGTGTCGCTTATTCGCGAAGTGGTAGGTAGCACAGCCTTTCCAAATTAGTAATTACTAATCCATCAATTTCACACAGGTGCGCCTAAATGTTCCCCAACTTGTGTCGGAGGACTTCCGCAATTTGTATAACTGGCTGGAGGTGGACTTCAACCCATTGAACCTGTGCAAGCGCATTCAGTCTATTGTTGATGTCATTGAGGGCGGTCCCGAGAACACTTTGCTCACTCCCTACATTCAGTCACTAAAGGACGTGACCATTATGCGTCTGATTCGTCAGATCTCTCAGGTCTATGAGAGTATACAGTTTCAGCGTCTGTTGCAGCTAGCCAGCTTCTGCAACATTTTTGAGCTGGAAAAGCTGCTTGTTGAGTCTGTGCGTCACAACGACATGCAGATTCGGATTGACCACCAGAAAAACAGCATCTACTTTGGCACTGATCTGACCGAGAGCCAGCGCGAGTACCGTCCCGACGGGCCCGCACTGCAGTCTATGCCGTCGGAGCAAATCCGTTCCCAGCTGGTTAACATGTCTACCGTGTTGACCAGAGCCGTTTCTATCGTCTATCCGAACCGTGAACGTGATCAACGGGCCAAGCTCCGAACCCAGATGGTGCACCACTACCACGAGATCAAAGATCGCGAGCACCAGCGAATTCTTCAGCGCCAGAAAATCATCGAGGACCGAAAGGAGTACATTGAGAAGCAGAACAATGCGCGCGAGGAAGAGGAGGCTAGGCGTCAGGAAGAGGAATCGCGCAAGGCCAAACTGGCTGAGCAAAAGCGCCTCGAGCAGGAGCAGGAAGAGCGGGAACGTAAGCGCCACCAGAACGAGATCCAAGCAATCCGGGAGAAGAGTCTAAAGGAGAAGGTGCAGCAAATCTCGCAAACGGCCCACGGAAAGAAGATGCTTTCTAAGCTAGACGAGGAAGGCATCAAGAAATTGGACGCTGAACAGATCGCTAAACGGGAGAGCGAGGAACTGCAGCGTGAGGCCAAGGAACTGCAGTCGAAGCTCAAATCGCAGGAGAAGAAAATCGACTATTTCGAGCGTGCCAAACGCCTGGAGGAGATTCCACTTTTCGAGAAATACTTGGCAGAAAAACAGGTTAAGGACAAAGAGTTCTGGGAGGCCACCGAGAAGACACGCATTGAGAATGCAATCACCGAACGGAAGGACGCCGTCAGCCAGCAGGAGCGCCTCAAGCGCATGTATCCCGACCGAGATGAATTCCTTGAAGCCCTCAAAAAGGAACGTGCTTCCCTCTACGTTGAAAAGCTTAAGAAGTTTGAGATTGCCCTGGAGGTGGAGCGCAAAAAACGCCTGGCCGACCGTGTTATTAGGCGCCGCGAGGAGCGCCGCCAGGCTTTTATTCGCGAAAAGGAGGAGGAGCGTCTCCGCAAGGAGGAGGAGATTCGCTTGGCGCAGGCTGCCGAGGAACGCGCCGCAGCAGAGGCCCGGCGTTTGGAGCGTGAGGCCGAGGACGAGAAGCGGCGCGCCCAGTACGAAAAGCAGCGCGCCAAGGAGGAAGAGGCCGAGCGCAAAATAAAGGAAGACCGTGAACGTCTGGCCCGCGAGGTGGCGGTGGAGCGCGAACGCTCCGAAAAGGAACGCGATACCTGGCGTCCCCGTGGCAGTGATCGTCCAAGTGCTTCTGCCGGAGGAGCCGGGGAGTGGCGTCGTGCTGCACCTTCGGCCAGCGATCGCAACGAGCGTGGTGGAGAACGCATCGAGCGTGGAGGCGATCGTAGCGAGCGTGGTAGCGAACGTATCGAGCGTGGAGGAGAGCGCAACGAGCGTGGAGGGGAGCGCATCGAGCGCGGAGACCGCATCGAACGTGGTGGAGACCGTGACCGCAAGGACAACGAAGGAGGAGACTCCTCGTGGCGTGTACGACGGGAGCCGGATTCCCAGCGTGCTGCTCTGCCCAAGGACAGTGGCGCTCCCCAATCGCGGGATGATAAGTGGCGTCGAGGAGGGGAACGCGACCGCGACTTCCGCAACGACGGACCTCGTCGCGATAGGGATGATGTACCTCGCCGTGAGCGTGAGGATGGACCGCGCCGGGAACGGGATGATGACCGCGGTGGATTCCGTCGCAACGAAGGGCCACGTCGTACCGAGGAGCCTCAGCGCGAGACTGGCGGAAACTGGCGCGACGCACCACGTCAGGGTGATCGGGAAAATCGTCGTCCAGCTGGCGAAAGGCGCGATCGAGATGTGCGCGAAACACGGGGCGATTTGCGCGGACCTGCTCCTAAAGAAGCAGCCAGTGGCGGTGGAGGCGGCAACTGGCGTACGGCTCCTGCACCTCGCGACGAAAAGCCCGCAGCCAAGCGTGACCAACCCCAGGACAAGGGTAAGTAGTATTAACACCAGGCCAACGGAATATTTTCATAACATTTTATATCTTTCAGAAAACAAAGCCGGTGATGATGGCGAATGGACCAGCGTTAAGCGTCGTTAAACTTCTTCGGAGCTTGATGCGTAGTTGCCCGCATTTTCGTATACACGCAACATAAATAATCTTCATAAGTTTTCATTTTATCCGATTTGTACTTCATACATCTATCCAATTCGTGCCAGATAGTTAAAAATGAGTTGGTCGCTAACCTTTACTTTTGAAAGTACTATCGAATAAAATAACCAAGTTCTAAATACCCAATAATGATCTTCCATGGGCGCTAATGATTTAATTTACTTAAAGGTCATACATCAAATTGATTTTGCATTTTCTCTGAGAAACAAATGGCGGTTTGATACATAATCATATAATTTTGGGCGATTTAATCATTATGAATACAATTCTACTTTAGTAGGCTCCCAAAGATACAAAGATTGACGGTAAGTTTTATTTAATTTTATGGTAGGCAACGCTTAGGCGATAAACTTGTTTATAACTAATTTAGATATGATCAATTTTAATAGTAATTATGTTCTTTTTGATGAATGTTATTGGACTTAAAGCTATATAATGTAGTGCCATACAAACTGCATGCTCTGTTAAATTTGATTTTATTTGCTGTGAAACTTTTAAACATCGCGCCTACTGTTCCAGCCCTAAACTAGTATTTTTGGCATACCTAGCGTTAGTACCGCTGCTTTAGGGAATTGTCACCAGCCCCCCGACTGGTCACACTGTCTACGCCGCTGCCGCGAAACGACTCGGTCCACGTGAACATATTTTGGGCAATGTGTGCTTTCCGACTCATGAGATAAAGTGATTGAGGAGTGCATTGCAGTGAAGTGACGTTGGCCAATCTTGTTTCGCGGGTGATCATCGAGTGAAGAAGACACATAAGGGCTGTCGCTGGTTTTCAGACGAATAAGGGCCTTTGGGAGCCTGTGCTTGTGTGGGTGCTGCAGACGCGGCGCTGAACATGTGAGGTTAAAGCAGACAGACAAACAGACGGCGGCAAGATATCCGAAAACAATTGGCCCCATATATTAATAGAAGGGTGGTCCAGAGCTGCTAGCAGTTGCGATTTCATAAGGTAATGTTGCGCGTTGGACGCCTCAAGTTCGCTGTTCGACAAAGAATCGACTTCGCATGTTGCCAGTGTCTCCTATGCAGCTTCCCGATAAAACAGCTTTCCAAACAAATGTGACAAAGTGTGAAAGGTGATAGTGGAGATCTGCGAAAACTATTGAATTCGATTGTTGTTCGTACAAAAGCAAAAGCACATGGCGTGGCGGCGGCATTTACGCATACTCCATCGCGGACACACACATACACGTGGTTGGGGCAACACATGTGCGGGCTGCTTCTTCTTGCCATCGGTGTGTGCGCGTGTTTGTTATTGTTGGCCGTCCTTGTTTTTCTAAAATTCATATGTCTTGAATTAACTTTACATTGTTGGAATATAAACCCTGGGCAAAATCACTTCGCAACGTGTTGCGGTGTCCTTAAGGAGAGGTGGAGTGGGGTTACTGCATGTTGCTCTCTCGTGCCACGCTGAGTTGCTATTCTAGCTTTTTTCGGCTATATTCAAGCCATTTTGTTAATAAGAAAAACCACAAAAATGTAACAAATTGAATAAATCTGGATCACAATATAAAACAAGAAAGGAAGCTAGCTTCGGCCAGCCGAAGTTTATATACCCTTGCAGATCATTCCTATTAATTTACAAATCGCAAAAATGTTAATTTTTCTATTATTTTGACATTATTTTTTCTGTTCTGCCTATGGCAGCTATATAATAAAGTCGTTTGATTTTTGTTAAATTTAATTCGAAATTAGAATAGGATAAATTAAGGGAGGAAAGTCATATAGAAAAAAAAAAATCAATTATTTTTTATTATTTAAATTGGTAGTATAACTCTTTAAGAATGTGTCATAAAAGTTTCACGTGCCCCAACCAGAGTTTCTGAGATATTCTAAGTAAGTTAGGTTCAGACAGTTTCTACATTATGTCTCAATAAAAAAAATTTGTTTTCACAAAAATCGGATCTACACAGCGACTTGTAGACGATCCGCAGCTGGCCTACTTTTTTTTTAAAAGAAAAAAAAATTAAAATCGGTTTTAATTATATAAGAACTATGTAATCAACATGCCAAGTTGCAAACTTCCAGCAGAAATCCTTATTGTTTCAAAAAAATCATGAAAAACTTGACAAATTTGTAGTTCTATAAGTATCTCCCCCCTTAACAACAGAAAACAGGTCCAGAAAATATCAAAACAGAGAGAACGCTAAATCGGGTGTCCCGACTATCAGATACCCGTTACTCACCTAAAAGGAGTGCGAGGGAGATAGAGGTATAAAACTTTAACTTTTTCACGAATGGTCCGATTTTGAAAAATTTCTTTTACAATTCGATAGGTATAAATATACACAACAAAATTGCATTTATACCTTTCCAAAATCTTAAAAATGTCGGCGCTAGACACATTTAAATATCGTTTGTGGGCATTAGAGGGGGCGTGGTGCTCGGCTGAAATAAACTTGCGCTGCGTAGGAAGCACAAGAATATGTAGCTTTTGTAGTTTCCGAGATCTCAGCGTTGTAAAATTAAGATTTGATATCGGATGATATTTTTTTGACTTTGTCTCTTTTTGACTTTGTTTCAAAAATCATCCAATTGATCTACACTTTTGAATAATATATTAGAAAGTCCTTGAGATTCCTCAATATTTAAGGTATTGCACATATCTTGTTTGAAAGTTATCAAGCATGGATGCGCTAAAAATTATTCAATGACATTTTCAAGAAAACTCATCAGGGATTTCTTTTAAATAACACAAAACATATTTAAACAAGAGAGAACGCTATAGCGACTACTTCGACCCGTTAGTCAGCTAAAGGGAGTTGTCATTGTCAAAGCTCCACCTAGCGGCCATTTAATTTATTGCTTATAATTTTTAATGGATTGCCCGATTTCATTTCTGCATATCGATAGGCTTTATCAAACACAACAAAATGGAACTTGAACTTTTACAAAATATGTAAATGATGTGGGCGCCAGGATTTTTTAAAAGTCCTTCAAAGTGACTGTGGGCGTGGAGCTTGGATGAAACAAACTTGCGCTGCGTAGGAAGCTAAAGATCTAGATCTTATAGTTTTCGAGATCTTAGCGTTCCAACGGACAGACAGACGGACTAGTGATCCTGATCAAGAATATATACACTTTAATGATGTTTCATGTTTAACTAATGTTTCATACTGACAAGCGAGCGCACAAACTCACAAACTGACAAACAGAAGAAATTTTCATTTTGGGAAGTATAAGAAATTCTTCTTTTGGCTATAACTTTTGAAGGAGCGTCGGATTTTATCATATGACCTCTCATTCGACGGGTATTTTCCATAGGAAAACAACTAAAATATTGCGAGGGGGCTTTTTTCCCCACCGGCCCTAACAGCTCGACATTTTCACTTTTTTACTTTCTCTGCTCTCCCTCCCAAGCCAATTGATTTTCTTAAAGTCTTGGTATGCAATCCTGTTAGTTTTTGCGAAACTTTTCGATAGGTGTATCACTCATTATGATCGAACCATCACAGCAGATTTTAATTTTTTCGTGTATATTTAAGGTGTGTTTCAAAACTATACGACACCGAAAATTTGTTGAGTTTTTGTTGTTTATAGAAAGCTAAACATTTAAATGCAGATCGAAAGAACAATGTATGATGTGTACGAATAAAAATACCACTCGTCCTTGACTTACCGATAATTTTTCAAAATATAGTCTATTTTTCGGCTATGTGCGATTGTTTCATAATTATTCGACACCATCGATTTTTTCCGGTTCCAATGATCGAACTTATGCCTAGTACTCACTTCAATCGAAAAGCCTACGCCTGTCATTTTTGTATAGAAATTTTCGTTTCGTTGCCTTTTTGATTGAAGTGAGTACTAGGCCTTATCCGAGATTTTTTTCCTGGGTAAATATAAACTAAAAGATTTCATTTTGACAGTAATCCTGCCCAAAGGTCCTTCTTCAATCTTCAACCCATACATAAATATTGAATATGTCTCTTTACACCTTAAAAAAAGTAGTTTTTCGAAGTCATATCCCACAATTCGTCTTAACTTTTGTCTGGTCAATATTCTTAGGCTTAGTACTCAACCCAACAAAAAGTCGTCCAAAACAAAAAACTTCATATGAAAAACAACGTGAAAAAACTTTGTTTCATATGAAGTTTTTGTTTTGGACTACTTTTTGCTGGGTTGAGTACTAGAGTCCTGCATGAGTGTACTTGGAAGTCAATTTTTAAAATCAGCTTACTTGGATCACTTTTTTTCATTTGATTTTTCATAAGGAAAAACAAGTGATTTAATATAAAATAAATGGATATAAAATAATTTCGAATCACCTAAATAATTTACTTAGTCATTTTATCACTCCCACTCACTTTTATTCTGTACTTGTATCACTTCTTTTTCCTTACGAGCGATCAAGTGAAACAAGTGATCCAAGTTAACTCACCGGAACTCACTCACTCTATTTTCAAAAAATTGACTTGTTTGTCAATTCAAGTGTACACATGCACGACTCTATTGAGTACTAGCCCTTAACTAGGGACCGTAAATAATCATTATTTGAGATTTTTATTTTAAAAGGCCTACTGAGGTTTTTACAAGTTTTAATCAACAATTTAACTGGTTTTTTTGCACTTTATAGACATGAACAAATAACAGTTAATTTGCTTTTCAGATTTGTTGAAATGCACACACAAAAAAATTTTATTGGTAAAATTGACCAACAAAGATAGTTACGTAACTATTAAAATTGTTACGTGTATTTTGTTTTTGCTTTGGGTTTGTGTCTTTGCTAATTGTGTGTATTTTGTTTTTGCTTTGGGTTTGTGTCTTTGCTAATTGTGTGTATTTTGTTGTTGTGAAATGACTATTTACTTAGTAGAATTGACAATTTCACTGGTTGGGGCCTGTTTGACAATTATTACAGTTGATTTTACCAAGTTTTTTTTTTGTGTGCATATACTTTGTGGAGAAGAGTAAAAAGAACGTTATTTTTGACGTTTAAAACAAAATATCACAGTAGTCTTTTTAAAATAATAATCTCAAATAATGATTATTTACGGTCCCTGTTCTTAACACTTTTGAAGTAAATAAAAATCCTGTCCAGTTTATTAAAATAAAATGGTATGATAAGGTATCAATATAATACCCTTGCAAAGGGTATAATAACTTCAGTCAGATGTTTGCAATACAGTGAAGGAGAGCTCAAAGAAGCTAGGTTGACAAAAATGAAATTTTAATAGCGGAATCGTTTGCCCATCTTTTGCACATGTTTGCCCACCAATTAGTTGTTTTTGCCCACGTCCAGTTTTCGAGATATAAAATTTCAAAAATTTTCGAAAGTCACAAATTTTTTGAATTCGATTTTTTTTTTTTTAAATCGTAAGAGAATCGTTTGCCCACGTTTGCCCACCTTTTAGAATTTTGAAAAAATGTATACTTCAAAAGTTATCTTAATTATAAGTTTTTCCTTAAGAAAAAATCGTTTGCCCACCCTTTAAAACTGAATATTTTTGGAAAAAAATGTTTGCCCACCTCTTAAAACTAAAAAATATTGACTGCCCATCCTTTAAAAATACATTTTTATAAAAATTATCGTATGCCCACCCCTTAAAACTAAAAAATATTCACTGCCCACCCTTTAAAAATACATTTTTATAAAAACAAACGTTTGCCCACCTCTTAAAACTAAAAAATATTGATTGCCCACCCTTTGCATTTTCAAAAGTTGCATTGCTAACTTTATGCACATTGTATTTTCTAAAGTTTTGACTTTTTCAAAATTGTAAAGGGTGGACAATCGTGGACAAACGATAGACAAACAATTCCATACAAAAAAATTTGAAAAATTCAACCTTTTGATTTTCGAAAATTTTCGAAATCCCATATTTTTGAAACTGGACGTGGAAAATAAAAAACCAAAAGGTGGTCAAACGTGGACAAACGATTCCCATATTAAAAATTCGAAATTTTAATTTTATTCGACCCAGCTTCTCTGAGCTGGTAATCGGTTTAAAAACATTTTTAAATTAATTTTTAAGAGGTGGGCAGTCAATGTTTTTTAGTTTTAAGAGGTGGACAAACGATTATTTTCATTAATATTTAGTTTTAAGGGGTGGGCAATCAATATTTTTTAGTTTTAAGAGGTGGGCAAACGTTTGTTTTTATAAAAATGTATTTTTAAAGGATGGGCAGTCAATATTTTTTAGTTTTAAGAGGTGGTCAAACGTTTTTTTCCAAAAATATTCAGTTTTAAAGGGTGGGCCAACGATTTTTTCTTAAGGAAAAACTTATAATTAAGATAACTTTTGAAGTATACATTTTTTCAAAATTCTAAAAGGTGGGCAAACGATTCTCTTACGATTTAAAAAAAAAATCGAATTCAAAAAATTTGTGACTTTCGAAAATTTTCGAAATTTTATATCTTGAAAACTGGTCGTGGGCAAAAAAAACTAATTGGTGGGCAAACATGGGCAAAAGATGGGCAAACGATTCCGCTATTAAAATTTCAAAAATTTCATTTTTGTCAACCCAGCTTCTTTGAGCTGTGAAGGAGTCATTTCCGACCACATAAAGTATATATATTCTTGATCAGCATCAATAGCCGAGTCCATCTAGCCATGTCCGTCTGTCAGTCTGTACGTTTCTATGCGAACTAGTCCCTCAGTTTTAAAGCTATCGCGATTAAACTTTCCCAAAAGTCTTCTTTCTTCGGAAGGAGCAGGATTGGATCACTATATCTTTTGGCTCCCATTGGAATAATGAAAAAATAATAGAAAAACTATTGTTACTTTGTAGAAAGTAGGCGTTTTGATTTTTGACAATGTAAAAACAACATTTTAAGTAGGCATACCTGCAATTGTATATAAACTTCGGCTGGCCGAAGTTAACTTCCTTTCTTGTTTTTTACAATTTAAATCAAAAATTATAAATATTATACCCTTGCAAAGGGTATTATGATTTCAGTCAGAAGTTTGCAACGCAGTGAAGGAGACGTTTCCGACCCCATAAAGTATATGGGCATTTCCAAAATGTCGCTCGGGACATTTGCACACCTTTAAAGTTAAAAAAAAAAATGTAAAACAATGGATTTTAATTTTAATTATGGGCTTTTCTTTTCACTCTTCCCAAGCTCTATTTTTGGTAAAAATCTTGATTTTGTACCACTTTTAGTTTTTAAGATATCGGTAAAAAACTGCCGTATTCGCTTTGGACAAAAATAGAAGTGGATTTCGGGGAAGTTCATACAACACCAGAAATTAGCGAATTCTGATGGAATATTTGAATGCGATTTTTTTTATAATGTTGTTCAAACATGTCGCTGTGAAATGCTTTTGGTTTCACTCAAAAATTCTTTGCCGTTTTTCTTTTATGCAGTTTCAACCACATTCGCTCGGGACATGTCGCTCGGGACATTTTTTCCGACTGTTTTGTAAAGCGTATTTCTTTACCTCTATCTCTCAATTGCTGGATGTTTTGCTTTTAACTTAATAGTTTAGTATGTGAATGAAGCATTCAGTACAGAAAAATGTCACATATTAGCATTCCTATAGGATAAATTAACAATAGAACCCAGGTCCAAAAAATAACAAAAAAAATAGCCAAAAACTGATTTTTGCGTATATTGGTGGGGTTTGTCATAAAAATAATCAAACTATACTCCAAATTTGTAGTTAAGCTCAGTATCCAACTAATTAGAAACTAATATCGGGGCAAAATCATGTGGAAATATGTTTTATTCAAGTTTCAAGGTTTTTGGCTTGGTGGACTTTTTTTTGGAAGTGCCCATATATATTCTTGATCAGCATCACAAGACGAGTCGATCTAGCCATGTCCGTCTGTCCGTCTGTCTGTTTCTACGCAACCTAGTCTCTCAGTTTTTGAGCTAGAGGGACGAAACTTTCGCAAAAGTCTTCTTTCTATTGCAGGTAGTATATATGTCGGAACCGACCGGATCGGACAACTATATCTTAAAGCTCCCATAGGAACGATCGGAAAAAAAAACGTTAAAAAATTCTAGCTTCGGTGTTTTTTCAAGTATTACCTTCTACTCTTGGGAATATTATTTTTTATATATTTCTGAATTTCGAATTAAATATTTTAAAAATCGGATCACTATATCATATAGCTGCCATAGGAACGGTGGAAAATTTAAATGTAAATTAATCGGAAAAAAAATTATATCTTTATTGGTTTTTATTACATTCTCTTCTACTCTGGGATATGATTATTTTTAAATATTTCCGAATATCGATTTTAATTTTAAAAAGATCGAACTACTATATCATATAGCTCCCATAGAAACGCTTGAAAAATTAATTTGAAATAATAGGAATTTTAACATTTTTGCGATTTGTAAATTAATAGAATGATCTGCAAGGGTATATAAGCTTCGGCTGGCCGAAGCTAGCTTTCTTTTTTGTTAAAAAATAATATTGCCAAGAGTAGAAGGTAATATTTAAAAAAAAACACAGTTCAATAATTTTGTTACCTTTTGTTCCGATCTTTCCTATGGAAGCTATAAGATATAGTTGTCCGATCCGACCGGTTCCGACTTATATACCACCTGCAATATAAAGAAGGCTTTTGGGAAAGTTTCATCCCGATAGCTTAAAAACTAAGAGACTAGTTTGCGTAGAAACGGACGGACTGACGGAAATGGCTAGATAGAAATTTACATTGCTGGTGTATGGACGGAGTCAGTCCAGCCTCGGCGAACAACAGGGTATCTTTCCTAAAGATGCTTTCAGTGCGCTAGTAAGTGGACAGCCACCCACAAAGAATAAAAGAAAACCAAGCTAGTATCACTTCGGTATGTTTTAGGCTTGCTTACATTCCTTGGACTTTTTATTTAGGCTCGAGGTATTTAGTTTCAAAAATGGTTGTCTTTACTTGTGTGCTCTATTTCTATTTAATTATGCTGTTTTAATGTCGCGCAGCCCGTCGTTGTCCCAAAACAGAATGTTTATTACGCATCTTTTCCAGAATATGGAGACGGTTTTTGTCGAGGTCAGCTAGCTGTTTCTCCACCTTTTCCATCATTTCGGAAGGTAGCCACAAATATGACTGAACAACAACGTTCCTTGCCGCAAGGTCAGACAGCTGAAGGGCCAGCTGAGCATTGGTTCCAGTCAGAACGAAGAAGTCCGTACTGCCTAAAACCTTTAGTGGCGTTTCGAATTCACATCTCGAATTCGACTCCGACCTCGGGTCCATGGCAGGGGTACAAGATTCCAAGAATTCAACATCATTATTTTGACCAATTTTGGTGGCTGTTCCGGATCCCAGATGGCCCTTCTCTAAACTCGTTGGCACGTCGATCTTTAGTAGAAAATCTGGACTCCGCTGGACTCCTATTTCCTTTGGATGTTGGGGCCTTGACTCTTCAACGTTCCGCCTCGGTAGGACTGTATTCAAATGTGACTTAATTTGCTTGCAAATTTTAGACATCAACGGGAATACAGAGTTGGGTGTTGTTTTAACATTAATATTGTCAGCCGGCTTACTGAGTTTCCTTAATTCTTGTGAAAGGGAATTGTTATTCTGTTCATACCATATAGTAGTTTTAGTAAGAACTTTATCTAAGTTCGAAGCCCTTTTTTTAACCTCCGATAGAAATGATTTTTTTTGACTAGATACTCGAATCTTTTGCAGTGCATCACACGGTTGAACCGTGTTGGTTGATTTGTTACTAGCTTGAGCCGAAGTCGATATTTTAGGGGTGTCTTTCTTCTTTTTTCTTCGGAAAATAGCCTTAGACATATCTTCAGTAAACACATTGCTAGTTGTTGGTGCAGTAAACACAGCTGAAATGGCGTCAATGGGGTTTTCTTTTCTGCCCCTACCATCAGTATTATCCATTAGACCGTCGATCGGTAAAAGTCCAGGTACAATCTGTTGGGCTTCTTCCACGGCTTTTCGCTTGGACTCTGCAGCTTTTCGCTGACGCCTTGTAATAACTTTTTTTGGCATTTATTGTTATTTATCCGGTCTAATACGATGTGAATTTATAATGTCTATTATCCAATAGGGTGATACTTGATATTGGACTTTTGAAAACGTAGATTGATACAGAAAGTGTTACTTTGATTAATGTTTGGCCTTGGAAATCCCGAAACTAATGTGTTTTTTTATTTACAGTTTTTGGTGAATTATATTTAAAACGCTATGGATTCCCGAATGCTTAATGTTTTCCAGGAAGATCCCTTTGAGGGAAATTACGTTAAATACGAATCTGAGCCAAATTTCTGGTCATCTAATGATGAGTAAGTGTTTGTCATTGACAAAATTATCTCAAACTCATGCAATACTCCCAGTCTACAACTGACAGATACACTTAACGGTATTCTGCCCATCGCGCCCACAGACGAGTCACTGCTCAGCGCTAACCGGGAGGAGGATATGCAAAACAGAAAGAACCTGGTAGGTTTTGGCTCGAGAGCCCTTCAAGTGGTCAGAGGTCCTATCGGTATTGATTCTTTGAACAGCTGATCTACAGTGACTTCGTGGAGCAGGAGTTGGGTGACCAGGAAGCCAAAGTTCTTAATGCCCAGGTCTACCAGGCCATCACCGACAGCGAGGTCGAGGTGGCCTACGATCAGCAGCGCCAGATTAGCGCTATTGTGGAGTATGACAGAGAAGATGTTGGAGTCGACGGTCTTACAGAGGAGGAGGACATGCAAAGCCAGTGCAGTGACTCAACATTTCGCACACGCACGGACAGCTCTTCGATTGGTGACTATGAGTCGCATTCCAGCGACTACGAAGACGAATATGATGTTGTCAACGAGGAGCAGAACCAAAGTATGCTCACCGTTCACGACAACATCCCCGCCTTCCAAAGCGCCAGTGAGCGCAAGGGACGAACGCTGAGTACTAACACAATCATCTCAGAAGTAGACGCATTTGGACTTAATATCGACGTTAATAACTTTGACTTAGCTGACTTTATTACCAAAGATGATTTCGCCGAGAATCTAAACGCCTGTCGCATAAAAGAATCTCTGCATGCACAGGAAACACCTGAACCTAATACTGAGACAGTAGTACCCTCAGTGCTTTCTCCATCCGATTCAACGATTGTGGTAAAACCAAAAGAAGTGTCCGCCAAGGCGCGGGACTCTGATTATGACTCGGACTCAATTATCGACGTTGAAACTGTCGATGTTATCGATGTGGATGAGACGTCTTGGTCAACAGGAGAGACATCTGGAACAGCCCCAAATCCCGACGATTTGCACTATATGGACAACGTTAAGACGGACCCGTCCTGGTGTCCTAAGTCTGCGAAGAAGGCATTGCCTGTTGTTAAAGAGGTTAGTAGCTTTATCATTTATCATTAAGATAACTAAATGTATTTATTATACACAGCATAAATCCGTGCAGCAGGAAATCCATCAACTCGCGCCTACAGGTTTGAGCAAACCGAAGCCTGCAAATATTTGCCTAGTGCCCAATAAAAAGCAGTGTGACTTCCTTAAGCGAAAGGTTGGAGCGTCCTTCTTGTCCAAGCCACCCAAGACGACAACCAAAAAAGCTAACGAGTCTACAAAATTAATAAGCAACAAGCAACCGCCATTAAACCATGTTCCATGTAAAGGTCTAGGTTTGGGTGGGAAAAACCTTTCGCTTATTAAGCAGGAAAGAGACGCCACAGTATCAGCGTGTGCGCCAGAAGAATCTTCCTCACAGCCATCATCAACTAACACGGTTGCACCGACTGTAACACTGACGCCAGCCCCCAAGCGAAAGCTCAATCTGGAAGAGTACAAACAGCGTCGTTGCGGCGGCGTTGGCATTGTAAAAAGCAAGCCGACACCGCCTAAGCAGGTGAAACTAGAAGATACCAGCAAACTGGTCACTCCATCCCCTGTGTTGAAGCCAACACCATCGCCTCAGAAAGCAGCGATTGTAAACATCGTGAAGAGCCTAAAATGCCCCAGTAAAGAATGCACTTCTTTGCCCATGGATCCGATCACCGTAGCCAAAAACAAAGTGTTGCGCATGCTAGAGATGAAACGTGCCCAACAGCTAAAAATAATTGATTCTCGCATATCAGCCAAGGTGCCACGCGTAACTAAGTTGCCGCCTCTTAAGGATATCGTCAAAGACACCTACTGCATGGAAACGGAGGATCAGGCGCCAGTAACTTCCGCACCCAACAACAAACTCCACCCCGATTATGAGGAGATTATAATAGTTTCAGTTAGTTGCAATACAGACATAACAATACCGCCAAATCAATTAAGCAAGGCTTCCCCTCGCTCACTTTTAAAGTCATCAGTTTTGCTGTACAACATTTCGAACGGTCAAGATGCCAATAAGAACATAAGCAACTCCCTAATAGCTAGCATACAAAGCGAGGTTGTCAGACAAACTAGTAGCACTGCTCTTGCGACAATATCGTCCAATGCTACAGAAGTTAACTCTTCGACTGACAAACACGTTCAGCATGGCGAAGACATGGTCATCATGCACTTGCCCAAAGATCGCGTGCGCAAGACTCTTGTAAGCATGTCCACCCAAACTGATCTGCAACCCGAGTTTCCAATTTTGTCCATCCCCACAACACGACAGTCTCGAGAGCGCACGCGGCGGAATTACCGCAAGCGAAGAAACCATGGGTCGGGATCAAATGTGTCTCACTCCTCAAGTGGCTCAACCTCTGACTGTAGCAGCCCCGTGTCATATAGATCTCGCTCGCGATCCGATTCGATTGAGCAGCTGCGTAACCTAGACGCAGCGGCAACATGTGGGGGAGGCAGTATTGGCAACGGTGGTTATTCTTCTCGCAGCACACACCGCCATCGCAGCTCAGTGAGCTCTTCATCTTACTCAGAGGCAGGCAAGTATGAACGCAGACAACGTCGCACTAGCTACAACAAGCGACGTTCCAAAAATCATAAACGGGCCAGCGAGTCCTCGTCCTGCTCCGGCTCCGAAAAAAGTGATCGCGCACGTAGCCGGAGTCCGCACAAATTGCGCCGCTCGCGCTCAAAGTCTGGCTCGCGCTACACTGACAATAATAGCCCTAATAACAATCGACGCGGATTTATGGATCGTAACGTATCACAACCTGCCGTAGAGGAGCGGCGCATCGTCTACGTCGGTCGCATAGAGCAGGAGACCACTAAGGAACTGTTGCGTCGTAAATTTTTGCCTTATGGAAGCATCAAGCAGATAACAATACACTACAAAGAAAATGGGTAAAAAAAGAAAACTAACATTTTTGTTTTTAAATTACAAATAATTATATTTTATTTAAGAATGAAGTACGGGTTTGTTACTTACGAAAGAGCTCAAGACGCTTTCACGGCCATCGACACCAGTCCTAGAGACTCGCAAATTAACATGTATGATATTAGTTTTGGAGGAAGACGTGCTTTCTGTCGCGCAACCTACGCTGACTTGGGTACGTGAAAGTTTGAAGCTTATTTATACATCATTTCCTAATTATATTCCCCTTTTAGATAATGCTGGTATCAATAATTACCACTCTTACGTTTTTCCCAAGGAGGTACCAGCACCGAAAGTACAGGAAGACTCTTTCGAAGCCTTGTTGCTAAAAGTAAAGGCAAAGTTAAATGCAGGCAAGCCGGTAGCAGCTACACCTGCTCCAGAACAACAATCAGCTCCAGCTTCTGTACCCCAGGGTCACAATCAGATGTGACATTTTGGCAGAAAGCAGCTTAATTTTGTATTTTTAATTTTTCTGAGAATATGAAGTATGTTACAAGCATTCTCATACCACTATCCTCCATGATTGTAGACCAATCCCCGAAGTTTCTAGCTGTATAACTGAAAAGCCTGATTATAATTCATAATTTATCTTAAATAGTTGACAGAGCTATGTAAGCAATAAAAATATTGCAATATACACTAGGATAATTCTAATGACCGAGAATGAAAAATTAAAACAAAACAACAAGAAATTGAAAAGAAAATGGAATTGTGATAACCGCGTACTGCATACAAAGTCATTTATTGCATGTAAGTTAGCAGAAGATCCATATAAATAGTAAAACCCACACATAAAAGCTTTGTAACAACCTATCGAACCACCAAACCAACGGAACTGAAAAACCAACCAGCCACTTCTACAATAATAACAAATCATATGCGTTGAAAATATAAAATATATATAAAAATGATGTATTTTGAGAAAGCAAGGAACGCGCATGCAGCATGCGTCGGCCACGAATTAAACTGTTGATAACTAAACTTTGATATTAGTTTTTAAAGATCATATTTTGTACGTACTTTTAGTTTACTCGGTAATTTTTGATTAGTAACCACTTCAACTCAATATAGGATTTATTATGAAATCTTTAACTTGTACCCTGGAAATTACAGTTGGATTATTTCTGTTTTCAATTTTGAATAAATGAATTCTAACAATGGTAAGTTCAAGCACTGACTTTGAAAGTAGGCTCTGCATATGTATTTCTTTGGTTTATTGAGACTAAATAAGGGTAAGCAAAACAAATATTTTTTATATATGATTTTTCTAGTTTAAAAACTACTACATAAAAACGTATATTAGTAGCAAAAACAAATTGTTCTTTTATATATTTTGTACTATTTCCCTTTTGATAATTTAATAAATTCTTTCTAGTTTGAAACAAATGAATTTAACTTTGAACATTATTTAATCTAGAATAAGTCAAGTCATCTCTACCACATGGTTACTTTAATTTTGGTAAGGTAAGACGATTCTAAAGCGGTCATTGAGTCTATTTGTTGTCGGGAGAGCAGGAATACTGCTTTACCTTTCTTACACGTTGCGCTGTTGTTGTTTGATGCAAAGTTGCTAAACTAAAATCGCTGTCTTTACTAGTAGGTCTTGCGATTACAAAAATTTTATTTTACCACTTTGTGAAGAATTGATGAAGGTTCATTCCACTTGAAACATGACAGGCCAATTTGGGTCAAATCTCAGAATCAATCGAAACTTTTTTTTTCGATAGAGGATTGAAATATAAGGATCGAATTTTATTTTTTTTTTAACTCTTACCGTTTATTTTTAAAAAATCTTTTTGTAAACTATATCCGATTTTTCAATTATGCAGCACTTGAGACTCGTTTGAGTTATTTTATAGCCTCTTCACATAGAGTCCATCCGTTTAAAACGGTTAAGATTTTTGACGAATGTGAAACTCGTGTTCCCACAGAACTCCATCCACCATCTACCATCCCATAACAACTGACTGAAGAGCAGTTGCTCAGCTCAACATTAACGAAGGGGGATTTCAATTCGGGAAAACTGTCGTAAAATTGCGTTCTCCTAATTTTATTGTAAAATAATACAATAAATAGACTAAGAAAATAGTTTAAAAACATATCTGAACGTTTATAACATATCCTACAAAGAGTATGCATACATATTGCTGACTGGGGGGGAACCTAACCTCCCGTACACCACACTCCGCTCTTACAACGCTTCTGCCTTGCCAATATTAATATGAACAAGAAAGGAAGCTAGCTTTGGCCAGCCGAAGCTTATATACCCTTGCAGATAAAGATAGATAAAAGATAGTTTAATGCTCACTCTGTGCAGTTCCAGGAATTCCAGATTCAGCGTGCCTATTATTTAAATTTTGTTTTTAAGTTGTCAAAAATCAAAACGCCTACTACCTACAAAGTTACAGTGAATTTTCTTCTATTTGTTTCAATATTCCTATGGGAGCCTTAAGATATAGTGGTCCGATCCGGCTCGCTCCGACATATGTACTACCTGCAATAGAAAGAAGACTTTCGGGAAAGTTTCATCGCGATAGCTTTAAAACTGAGAGACTAGTTCGCATAGAAACGGACAGACGGACATGGCTAGATAGACTCGGGCTGATCAAGAATATATATACTTTATGTGGTCGGAAACGTCTCCTTCACTGCGTTGCAAACATATATCTAAAATTATAATACCCTCTGCAAGGGTATAAAAATTTGTAAGCAAAACCGAATTTATGCTGTGACACTTTGCTGCAAACATTGATGTTTTAGCAATAGCATAGCAACCTGCTTGTGAACGCTTTTCCGCTCATAACAAACTACAAATAATTAAAAAAAAAACCAAAAAAACAATGACCTGAAGCATTATTTAATTTTTGCCCGCCATCGATTTGATTTGTTCTCGCAGTCATCGTTCCAATTTTCACAGTCAAGAGGAAGAATTCAGAGTTGTACCGAGAAAACAAAGTCCGTCAAAATTGGATGGCGGACTAACTGGGAAATTTTCGGAACGGCAAAACCTTACGGAACATCCGTTCAACGGATGGTAGATGGTGGACGGAACTCTGTGGGAAGACCCTATTAATATTTGGTATGCAACAGAGAACGGCACCGGTGCCTGATTTTGACACTACTAGTTAGTGTGGGGTAAAAACTGCTCATTTGGGTGAACATGCCCCAGTGGCAATACCCTCGACGATGACCAAATTTCCTACTCCCGAGGCATCAACTGTTCCCTACACCATGTCACTCCCACCGAAGTGCTTTACGGTCCAAATTAGTACTGTGGTCGGAGTATGGTAGAGATGTCTTGGTGTGGGGATCAGTTGAAGCCTCGGGAGTAGGAAATTTGGTCATCGTCGAGGGTATTATGGTTCGTTCTCAGTATAAGACCATATTTGAACATAATTTGAAGGCATCTGTGGACAAATAATGCCTCGGAACCATCTCGATCTACCAACAGGATAATGATCCTAAGCATACGGCGCATATCCTTAAGAAATAGCTGCTGTTTTATGCTTTTCGGCAATTGTTTTCACCACCATAAGGCCTGGGCATACAAATTATAGAGCAGGTTTGGGTAATTTTGAAGCGAAAATTTTGAAAGTTCTATGTAAAAAATCGTCAGTAGACTTTTGTCAATGCCATTTTTAAGATTTTCGTCTGTAACTTTTAAAGTTTTTTATGAATAAGAATAAAATTTTGGTTTTTGTATATTAATAACATTAAGAACAAAACTGCATCATTACTTTTCCCGTACAAGCAATAGGAGTGGGTGAACTCCCAAAAAGGGGGTCGTCCGTAGACTTTTGTCCGCCACTGTAGATGCTGTAAAATAAGGTGGACTAAGTAGTCGATTCTACCTTACAATGATGATGTCTAAAGACGAGATGTCTAAATAAAACAAATAATAAAATTGTAATTTTTTAGTTGAAAAACACTGTATTTTATTTGGCTTCAAATAAACCCCTATTACGTGGTATACCAGTTCGTAAAGCATTTGAATTACAACCCTATATACAGGGTAAACCAGTCAGTAAAACGGGTGGATTACAAATCTATAAACCAGGTATCCTATTCAGTAATGCACTTGCATTACAGCCTCATATACTTGGTATGCCACTCAGTAAAGCGAATAGATTACCATCCTCTATGCAACAGTACATAGGACGGTAATACAGCACGAAGTGTGCTCGGCTATCGCCTACTTTCTCGATTCGAAGTATGCGGTTTTGAAGGTACACTAACGGAAAACGCGGCCAACCTTATGGAGTCGTAAACAGTGTTGTGGTATGAAACCGAATGCATTCCGGCTTCGAAGTAATGCGGTCGGAATCGATTCTCGAAGGCAAATTTCCTAACTGGGTTTGCTCACTTGTTCTGTCCTTAACTTTTTCACTGTCTCTGAGAAAACAGCTCATTGTCTGATTCGGCACGCCTTAGTGAACTATTCCAGCCTTTTTCTTCTTCACTCTTCACAGGCTGTTTTATTGCAGCGTGCCGAATCAGAAAGTTTTTTAATAACGACATTTTACCTTAGAACTTACAAACTAACGAAATTGAGCTATTTTTAGCTTTTTTTAGAACAAAAGATTCTTATATGGAACGGTTAAATGCAAATTAACTGATTCCATGACCAAAAAATACAGTTTGGAATACGCACGCACAAAATTCAATACGCAGGAAGCGTTAGTTGGTCTGAGCCTGCAAAAGTGGATATTTTCGTTTCTTAAGGGGTTATATACCTTTTTGAGCGGAAAAAATTGAGGGAACTTTGGATTTTTTTTCAGGTGTGTAGCAATTATTTTATGAAACTGAAGTTATTATTTATTGATAGTACATGTTTTTATCGAAACAACAAGCCTTTGATCTTGAAAATATATGAATAATTTACAAAGTTATGGCAATTCTCTCGGAACCCTTTTTTTTTATAGCGGCTTGCGGTGACCACGATTGCACAAGAACTATTTGATCGATCTTCTTCATTTTTTTTAAAATTATTCGTAATGATTGTGCCGAGTTCGTGAACGATTATTTTCAAGAACATTTGCTTTTTTCTGCATACAGTAACAATTTTTCCAAAAATTTTATTAAAAAATATTTTTCTGCGAAATCAAAATTGACGCATAAAAACTGAATCGTTCACGAACTCGGCACAATCATTACGAATAATTTAAAAAAAAAACAAGAAAGGAAGCTACCTTCGGCCAGCCGAAGCTTATATACCCTTGCAGATAAAACAATACTCACTCGGTGCAGTTCCAGGGATTCCAGATTCAGCGTTTCTATTTATTTACATTTACACTCATAGAAATTTTCCGGTAAAATCGCCCTAAAAACATGGAAAATCGCCCTAAAAAGGGGGTCAATGGCGACTAGGCAACAAAATTAGGGCAAATTGCCCTAAAAATACGGGTGAATTTGTCATACATTTAGGGCGATTTTTCGTAGATCTAGGGCGATTTTTCTATTTTCAAAGGTAATTGCCCTAAAAATAAGAAATGAGACCCTTAAACTAAAGGCAGTTTCCTTTAAATCCAGGGCGATTTTTTTGGACTTATAGGCGAATTGCCCTGGAAATTGAAAAAAATACTTTTAAACTAAAGGCAGTTTTTTATAAATCTAGGGTGTTTTTCTGGATTTTAAGGCGAATTGCCCTAGAAAAAAGGAAAAATATCCTAAAACTAAAGGCAGATTTTCATAAATCTAGGGCATTTTCTCTGGATTTATAGGTGAATTGCCCTAAAACATGCAAAATGCTCCCCAAAATTTCACGGCCATTTTTCAAAAATAAAAATACAATTTCAATATATATTTTTTTGTTTTTTATATTTTTGTTTGTTGTTATTTACATTAACTACAAATATATTTACACAATTTATAGTTATACAAATTTACATACTCTCCTATTCTTATTGCTAAATGGATTATATCGGGTTTAAAAATAATAAATAACTTTAATAGAAACGGCTTCCCGAGTCCGCAATGGTGTACTTCGCGTTCTTGCTCCCGGCGTCCTTTTCTGTTCTTGCTGTCGGCACCAACACTGAATGGATCGCAAGCCAATTTAAAGTTGATTGTATCTCTATTAAATGAAAACAGTCTAATTATTATATGATAATAGAAAAAAAGAGAAGCACTTACCTTTAGAGCTTTCCAAAAATTTGAGCAGGTTTATTTCCTGTTGCTTCCTTACTGCTGCTTTTAATAAGTCTGAAAAGTGTTTTGCGAAAGCTGGATCTGAAAAGCGTTCTCGATCTAAAAAAAAAAAGAAAAAATTGTTAGAAATTAATATAAAAATGCACAACCAACACACACAATTTTCATTTAGCCTGCGATTGCGTTTGCTGCTACTCCTAGAAAAAAAAGAAGCAGCAAAAGCAAATTTCGAGCACTGACGAAATGTCGCAATAGAAATTTGGGGGTTGTTTTGGCATATGCACTTGAGAATGCGGTTTGTCCGGTGCATAAATACAGATTTCTTGTAAATATATACATATGTATGTGTGTATTCTGTTGCATCATCTTTTTAACTCAAGCATTATTTACATATACACATACATATATGTATACTCTTATTAATGATCTCACTTTGTTCTGCCACACTTCCAAAACTTCCGCTTCTGGACCGACTAGTTAAACAGGAATTTCTCCTCGTAGCTGCTTCCACTCAAATTTTGTAAAGTTTCAGCTGCATTTTCCTTTGTTACAGATATGTAAATTCAATTAGTTATTAATATCCAAATTGCACAATTATATATGTATGTACTCACCAGAAAACAGAAAATGAATCGCCTCCCAAGTCCTTTAATAGAGTTTACATTTTTAACTTTTTCACAAACAAAAGGTTTCATACAAAGACGTCTGTCACTGCCAAGCGCCCGAAAAATGATGACAAAGTCTAGACAATGCAACTCTTTCTACCCCCACCCTTGCCACTGCAACGGACGAAAAGTAGCAAAGAAGAAGAAAAATGGTGGTCTTCTCTAAAGTCAAATGCGCTCAGCATCAAAATTCATAGAAAAAGGTCCGCCCTAATATACACACACATTCACTTGTTTTGACCTGTCAACCACACACACATACACACATGTATTACATATGTATCCATTTATTGCGTCTTAAAATTTCGTTTGACTCTTCCTTGTTTTTAGGGCAATTTCAGAACATTTTTTTGCTATTTTGTTCTACGTTTTAGGGCGATTTCGCCCTAAAAAGAAGGAATTACTTTTGGAGTCGACTCATAAAAATTCGCCCTAAAAAACAGGGCAAATTGGCCTTTTTGGAAAAACTAACCCTAAAAAATATTTTCCATGGCGATTTTTTGTAACTTTAGGGATAGCCACCCGTATAATAAGAAAATTTTTCGTAGTTTTAGGGCGACCTCGGTTTTAGGGCGACTTTTCTAGTATTTAGGTAAAAATTTCTATGAGTGTACAGAATCAAAACGCCTACCCCTACAAAGTTACAATGAATTTTCTTATATTTGTTTGAATATTCCTATGGGAGCCTTAAGATATAGTGGTCCGATCCGGCTCGCTCCGACATAAGTACTACCTGCAATAGAAAGGAGACCTTCGGGAAAGTTTCATCGCGGTAGCTTTAAAACTGAGAGACTAGTTCGCATAGAAACGGACAGTCGGACAGACGGACATGGCTAGATAGACTCGGCTATTGGTGCTGATCAAGAATATATATAATTCGGTCGGAAACGTCTCCTTCACTGCGTTGCAAACATCTGACTGAAATTATAATACCCTCTACAAGGGTATAATGAAGAAGATCGATCAAATAGTTCTTGTGCAATCGTGGTCACCGCAAGCCGCTATAAAAAAAAAGGGTTCCGAGAGAATTGCCATAACTTTGTAAATTATTCATATATTTTCAAGATCAAAGGCTTGTTGTTTCGATAAAAACATGTACTATGAATAAATAATAACTTCAGTTTCATAAAATAATTGCTACATACCTGAAAAAAATCCGAAGTTCCCTCAATTTTTTCGCTCAAAAAGGTATATAACCCCTTAATAACTTTTAAACGTTTTTACAATAATGTGTTATATACCAAATTTTAAGGAATCTCAAGGGCTATATAGTTTAAAGTTTTAAAGAAAATCGTTAGAGCCGTTTTTGAGAAAAACAAAAAAAAAGTTTAAAATAAAGTTTAAAAAAAAATGGTTTTGTGCAGACCGCTGTTTTACAGAAGAAAATCTTATTTTGGCTATAACTTTTGAACGGAGCATTGGATTGCATCATATGACCCCTTATTCTACATGTATTTTTAATAGAAACACAGACAAAACATTGCGTGGGGGCATATATCCCCACCGTCCCCAACAAAATTCGAAATTTTCACTTTTTTACTTTCACCGCTCTCTTCCCCAAGCCATATGATTTTCTTAATGTCTTGGTATGCAATCCTGTTAGTTTTTGCGGTACCTTTCGATAGGTGTATCACTCATTATGATCACAGCAGATTTTCATTTCTTCATGTATATATAGTAGTCGCCTTCGCACACTCTCCTGGTGCGCTTTGTCACTACATGGACTGCCGTCCATAGTGATTTATAACATTGCTAATTTTTTGGTCTTTGTATTGACTATAGTTTTATAGATAGCTATCAAATAAAATATTATTAGAGCTTTTGGGATGGTAATCCATTTCCCCATAATGGCACAAAAGCAACACCTTCATTTAATGTGCATAAAGTTAGCAATGCATCTTTTAAAAATGCAAATTTTTTTCTATCGACAACTTGCTGTTATTTATCCGTAAATTATTCGTGAACGAAAAAAATTTGCCGCTCAATTATTTTTAAAATTATGAGATGCTCTGCTAAGTTGATATCACCCAAACCCACACTAAAGTTCAAAATTTCCAAAATATTTTTTAAGGGGAATTTGCCGTAAATGATTCGTGAAAGAAAAAATTTAGTTGATCTTGTTTTAACATTTTTATACCCGTTACTCGTAGAGTATAAGGGTATATTGTATTCGTGCAAAAGTATGTAACAGCTGGAAGGAAGCGTTTCCGACCCCATAAAGTATATATATTCTTGATCAGGGTCACTAGCTGAGTCGATCTAGCCATGTCCGTCTGTCCGTCTGTCTGTCTGTATGAACGCTGAGATCTCGGAAACTACAAAAGCTAGAAGGTTGAGATTCTTGGGCTTCCTACGCAGTGCAAGTTTACTTCAGCCGAGCTCCACGCCCCCTCTAACGCCCACAATCGCCCACTAACGATTTTAAAATGTGTCTGGCGCCCACATCTTTAAAGACTTCCGAGAAGTATAAATGCAATTTTGTTGTGTATATTTATAGCTATCAAAATGTAGAAGATATTTTTCAAATCGGATCATTCATTAAAAAGTTATACAGTAAGAAAGGGAACGCACTATTCGTGCTGTGTGTTCGTGTTCGTTTTGCTGTTCTCTTCTTAGCTTTTTATACCCTTGTAGAGGGTATTATAATTTCAGTCACCACATAAAGTATATATATTCTTGATCAGCACAAATAGCCGAGTCTATCTAGCCATGTCCGTCTGTCCGTTTCTATGCGAACTAGTCTCTCAGTTTAAAAGCCATCGCGATGAAACTTTCCCGAAAGTCTTCTTTCTATTGCAGGTAGTACATATGTCGGAGCGAGCCGGATCGGACCACTATATCTTAAGGCTCCCATAGGAATATTCAAACAAATATAAGAAAATTCAATGTAACTTTGTAGGAAGTAGGCGTTTTGATTCTTGACTACTTATGTATAAACAAAATTAAAATAGAAACGCTGAATCTGAAATCCCTGGAACTGCACCGAGTGAGCATTACTTTATCTACAAGGGTATATAAGCTTCGGCTGGCCGAAGGTAGCTTCCTTTCTTGTTATACCCGTTACTCGTAGAGTAAAAGGGTATATTGTATTCGTGCAAAAGTATGTAAAAGCTAGAAGGAAGCGTTTCCGACCCCATAAAGTATATATATTCTTGATCAGGATCACTAGCCGAGTCGATCTAGCCATGTCCGCCTGTCCGTCTGTCTGTCCGTCTGTCTGTCTGTCTGTCCGTATGAACGCTGAGATCTCGGAAACTATAAAAGCTAGAAGATTGGCATTTTGCATGCAGATTCTAGGAGCTCCTACGCAGCGCAAGTTTGTTTCAAAAAGGTGCCACGCCCTCTCTAACGCCCACAAGCCCCCTCTAACGCCCACAGTTTTGAAGCTATTATGAAAATAGTAACTGATATGTATTTGCTTCGTCAATACCTATCGATTGGCCAAGTGAAAAATTGCCACGCCCACTCTAACGCCCACAAACCCAAATATCCCACATTTGTTAAGGATCGCATAATTTTGGCAAAACGTTAAACGGAAAGAATCATCGTTTATAAACAAATATTCTTATTGGCTTGAGTGGAAGCAAACTATTGTTCTAAAACACTGTTCACCAGCAAAGGATTCCCATTTATCTCGTGGACGTCCCAAAAAGGATTTCTCTGAGGTTTCGAATAGGACGAAACGCCGATGAATAGAGGAGGTTGCGATTGTGGGTGGGTGATTTCCAAGAGGTGATTTCCAAGAGAATAAATCCGCTTCCGAAATAAAAATTTTAGAAGAATGAGCTCTTTTTATGGAATGTCAATTAACCAACACCAATATTTAATGATACGAACATTTATTAACTCAAAAGTATCGCATAAATTGTTGCCCAGCTATGACCAAGTTCTGTGTGCTAAACAAAAAAGCTACCCGAATAATATTGTTGTCAGCGAATCTCATGCAGAAGTTGAACTTCAAAATTTATTGGATCACACTGCGACACGCATATTGCAACTTCAAAATTAAGTAATCAACAATATCAATAATGATCAGCTGATTTTGTTCGGAAAGTGGGGATTTGATGGTAGCACGGGTCATGCTGAATATAAGCAGACGATGATGGATAGCGACCTAGCAGACAGCACTATGTTTGTGACATCATATGTGCCCCTTAGACTCGTTTCAAAGTCGGACCATTCAAAAATTGTTTGGAAGAATCAACGGCCATCATCTACCCGATATTGCAGACCAATTCGGTTCCAATTCAAAAAGGAGACGACTCAGCTTTGCCTTGACGAAGAGGCGTATTTCGAAAACCAAATTGATTAGCTTAATTGTAGCATGGTTGCAATACAAAATCGAACAATTGAAATCGAACACTCTTTGCAACTGACCTTGGTTGATGGAAAAGTTTGTAATGCGTTAAGTGATACCACATCCACAAAATGCTATATATGTAATGCCAAGCCTACTGAAATTAATAATCTAGAAATTTGTTTAAAAAAAGAAGTTCATGAGGAGCGATTTGAGTTTGGCCTTTCACCACTTCATGCGTATATTCGCTTTTTTGAGTATTTTATTCACTTATCGTACAGATTGGACGAAAAAAAGTGGCAAATACGATCACAAGAGGCTAAAGATAAGATGTTATTAAGAAAAAAATTTCTCCAAAATGAGTTCAGGAACAAAATGGGCGTAATAGTAGATAAGCCAAGAGCTGGAGGAAGTGGAACATCAAATGATGGCAACACAGCTAGAAAATTTTTCAATAATCCTGAAATATCTGCCGACATTACGGGAATTGAAAATGACTTAATTACCAGAGTCTCAACTTTGTTGCAAGCGTTATCTTCGGGCTATAAGATAAATCCAGAAAAATTTGGTGACTATGCTCTTCAAACCGCAAAGCAGCTGATTGACAAATACCCCTGGTTTTATCTTCCCCCATCACTTCATAAAGTTTTACTGCATGCACCTGACATTATAAAACATTCCTTACTTTCGATTGGAAAACTTT